ATCCAATTCGTGTTAAATCGCTTATGCACTTTGCACTCTTGACGAAATGTCAATTTTCCGACCAGTCGTACGTCACACTGCTGCATGCCAGTCCTTTGCAATTTTGTGAGACGTTTAAGTATATATTTTGGAGTATGCTTTTGAATGGATTTAATGAATGATGTTCCCGTTGGTGATATATTTTATATCTAATTCGTCTTAAATCTATGATGCAGTTTGTGCTCTGGAGGAAATGTCAATTTTCGGACCAGTCGTACGTAACGCTGGTAGCAGCATGATATTTGTTATTTTGTGAGATGTTACAGGATACATTTTTACATTTGCCCTACCGAGGACAAGTTGATTGGTCATTCTATTCGTGAGATATTGAGTATCTAATTTGTCATTCAAGTCTGATTTACTTTGGGCCATGTACGGAATGTCAACTTTCGGACCAGCTGTACATCGCACTGGTAGCAGCGGCTAATTTGATATATTGTGAGACGTTTATGTATATATTTTTACGTTTGCCAAAGGAGGGATGTATCGATTGACTTCTCTGTTAGGGGGATATATAATATCCACTTCGTCTTAAATCGCTTATGCAATTTGCGCTCTTGACGAAATGTCAATTTTACGACCAGTCGTACATCACACTTTTATATGCCAGTCCTTTGCAATTTTGTGAGACGTTTAGGTTTATATTTTTGAGTATGCTCTGTAATGGATTTAATGAATGATGTTCCCGTTCGTGATATATTTTATATCTAATTCGTCTTAAATCTATGAAGCAGTTTGTGCTCTGGAGAAAATGTCAATTTTCGGACCAGTCTTACGTAACGCTGGTGGCAGCATGATATTTGTCATTTCGTGAGATGTTTCAGGATACATTTTTACATTTGCCTTACCGAGGACTTGTTGATTGGTCATTCTCTTCGTGAGATATTGAGTATCTAATTTGTCATACAAGTCTGATTTACTTTGGGCTATGTACGGAATGTCAATTTTTGGACCAGCTGTACATCGCACTGGTAGCAGCGACTAGTTTGATATATTGTGAGACGTTTATGTATATATTTTTACGTTTGCCAAAGGAGGGATGTATCAATTGACTTTTCTGTTAGGGGGATATATAATATCCAATTCGTGTTAAATCGCTTATGCACTTTGCACTCTTGACGAAATGTCAATTTTCCGACCAGTCGTACGTCACACTGCTGCATGCCAGTCCTTTGCAATTTTGTGAGACGTTTAAGTATATATTTTGGAGTATGCTTTTGAATGGATTTAATGAATGATGTTCCCGTTGGTGATATATTTTATATCTAATTCGTCTTAAATCTATGATGCAGTTTGTGCTCTGGAGGAAATGTCAATTTTCGGACCAGTCGTACGTAACGCTGGTAGCAGCATGATATTTGTTATTTTGTGAGATGTTACAGGATACATTTTTACATTTCCCTACCGAGGACTTGTTGATTGGTCAATATGTTCGTGAGATATTGAGTATCTAATTTGTCATACAAGTCTGATTTACTTTGGGCTATGTACGGAATGTCAATTTTCGGACCAGCTGTACATCGCACTGGTAGCAGCGACTAGTTTGATATATTGTGAGACGTTTAAATATATATTTTTACGTTTGCCAAAGGAGGAATGTATCGATTGACTTCTCTGTTAGGGGGATATATAATATCCAAGTCGTCTTAAATCGCTTATGCAATTCGCTCTTGACGAAATGTCAATTTTCCGACCAGTTGTACGTCACATTGCTACATGCCAGTCCTTTGCAATTTTGTGAGATGTTTAAGTATATATTTTGGAGTATGCTCTCGAATGGATTTAATGAATGATGTTCCTGTTCGTGATATATTTTATATCTAATTCGTCTGAAATCTTTGATGCAGTTTGTGCTCTGGAGGAAATGTCAATTTTCGGACCAGTCGTACGTCACGCTGTTGGCAGCATGATATTTGTTATTTAGTGACATATTTCAAGATACATTTTTACATTTGCCCTACCGAGGACAAGTTGATTGGTCATTCTATTCGTGAGATATTGAGTATCTTGTTTGACATACAAGTCTGATTTACTTTGGGCTATGTACGGAATGTCAATTTTCGGACCAGCTGTACATCACACTGGTAGGAGCGACTAGTTTGATATATTGTGAGACGTTTATGTATATATGTTTACGTTTGCCAAAGGAGGGATGTATCGATTGACTTCTCTGTTAGGGGGATATATAATATCCAATTCGTCTTAAGTCGCTTATGCAATTCGCGCTCTTGACGAAATGTCAATTTTCCGACCAGTCGTACGTCACACTTCTACATGCCAGTCCTTTGCAATTTTGTGAGACGTTTAGGTATATATTTTGGAGTATGCTCTTGACTGGATTTAATGAATGATGTTCCCGTTCGTGATATATTTTATATCTAATTCGTCTTAAATCTATGATGCAGTGTGTGCTCTGGAGGAAATGTCAATTTTCGGACCAGTCGTACGTAACGCTGGTGGCAGCATGATATTTGTTATTTATTGAGATATTTCAGGATACATTTTTACATTTGCCCTACCGAAGGCTTGTTGACTGGTCATTCTATTCGTGAGATATTGAGTATCTACTTTGTCATTCAAGTCTGATTTACTTTGGGCCATGTACGGAATGTCAATTTTCGGACCAGCTGTACATCGCACTGGTAGAAGTGACTAATTTGATATATTGTGAGACGTTTATGTATATATTTTTACGTTTGCCAAAGGAGGAATGTATCGATTGACTTCTCTGTTAGGGGGATATATAATATCCAATTCGTCTTAAATCGCTTATGCAATTTGCGCTCTTGACGAAATGTCAATTTTTCGACCAGTCGTATGTCACACTGCTACATGCCAGTCCTTTGCAATTTTGTGAGACGTTTAAGTATATATTTTGGAGTATGCTCTTGAATGGATTTAATGAATTATGATGTTCCCGTTCGTGATATATTTTATATCTAATTCGTCTTAAATCTATGATGCAGTTTGTGCTCTGGAGGAAATGTCAATTTTCGGAGCACTCGTACGTAACGCTGGTGGCAGCATGATATTTGTTATTTAGTAAGATGTTCCAAGATAAATTTTTTCATTTGCCCTACCGAGGACTTGTTGATTGGTCTTTCTGTTCGTGAGATATTGAGTATCTAATTTGTCATACAAGTCTTATTTACTTTGGGCTATGTACGGAATGTCAATTTTCGGACCAGCTGTACATCCCACTTGTAGCAGCGACTAGTTTGATATATTGTGAGACGTTTAGGTATATATTTTTACGTTTGCCAAAGGAGGGATGTATCGATTGACTTCTCTGTTAGGGGGATATATAATATCCAATTCGTCTTTAATCGCTTATGCAATTTGCGCTCTTGACGAAATGTCAATTTTTCGACAAGTCGTACGTCACACTGCTACATGCCAGTCCTTTGCAATTTTGTTAGACGTTTAAGTATATATTTCGGAGTTTGCTCTAGAATGGATTAATTGAAAGATGTTCCCGTTCGTGATATATTTTATATCTAATTTGTCTTAAATCTATGATGCAATTTGTGCTCTGGAGGAAATGTCAATTTTCGGACCAGTCGTACGTAACGCTGGTGGCAGCATGATGTTTGTTATTTAGTGAGATATTTCAGGATACTTTTTTACATTTGCCCTACCGAGAACTTGTTGATTGGTCATTCTATTCGTGAGATATTGAGTATCTAATTTGTCATACAAGTCTGATTCACTTTGGGCTATGTACGGAATGTCAATTTTCGGACCAGCTGTACATCGCACTGGTAGCAGCGACTAGGTTGATATATTGTGAGACGTTTATGTATATATTTTTACGTTTGCCAAAGGAGGGATATATCGATTGACTTCTCTGTTAGGGAGATATATAATACCTAATTCGTCTTAAATCGCTTATGCAATTTGCGCTCTTGACGAAATGTCAATTTTCCGACCCGTCGTACGTCTCACTGCTAAATGCCAGTCCTTTGCAATTTTGTGAGACGTTTAAGTATATATTTTGGAGTATGCTCTTGAATGGATTTAATGAATGAAGTTCCCGTTCGTGATATATTTTATATCTAATTCGTCTTAAATCTATGATGCAGTTTGTGCTCTGGAGGAAATGTCAATTTTCGGGCCAGTCGTATGTAAGACTGGTGGCAGCATGATATTTGTTGTTTAGTGAGATGTTTCAGGATACATTTTTACATTTGCCCTACCGAGGACTCGTTGATTGGTCATTCTATACTCATCACTCTCTATCATAAGACACAACGCACATTTCTTCAGTTTCAAGAAATGAGAGCGCTTGGCACGCGTGTTTATTAATGAACATAGTACAACTGTTACATAAATAATGAGAACATGACCATGTATATGCATACAGTGAGTGAGTTCGTGAATGTCACTAGAAAATACAAAACAGTATAACTGCACATGTATGACAATTCGATTGACACCATTAAAACCTCATCCAATTAATTAGGATTTATGAGGACTCTTAAACTAAGCAAAGACCTTAATTATCGAGGCCGAAATTCAAAAAAGGTCTTTGCAGAGATAATAAGGTATGCCAATCAAAATATCAATTTGTACGATCAATAATGACAAAATTTATGAAACATACAGAAATAATATAATCTACAAATTCGGAGTTAAGTGTATTCCTCGCACGCTGGCAAGCCTCAGAATGACGTGTTCCTAACACTTACTCACTCACTCCAAACACAAATAACCGCCAAACCGTTCAGCCCATAGAAATCATTTATGTTCTCAAGTCGCTACACTGCGTTCCGCTCCACCGAACATAAATAGCTATTCTATTCGTGAGATATTGAGTATATAATTTGTCATACAAGTCTGATTTACTTTTGGCTATGTACGGAATGTCATTTACTCAGTAGGTAGTAGGTAGTTACCAGTTTCGCTACCAGGTGTCTGATTCGGGGGAATTAACATGGCAGGGTATTGCAAAATTCCCTTACTTGAATATGCATCAGTTTTAATGGTTCACTTTTCATATTACCTTTATGTATCTAATAGTCGTACAAATTAAAATATGTCCAGTAAAAGAAAATAATATCTGCCCAACACAAGAAAAGATATTTCACTTTTTGTGGTTTTACAACATGGGCTCTATGGGCAATCTCCCCGACCTAGAAGTCACATTTTCAAAGAAAATTAAAATTTCAAAGTTGATAAACTCTTTTAAAAACCACATTTCTAAATGTCATTTTACATGTTGATTCCAAATATGACATCAGTTTGACTGAATTGTGAATTTTTATTGACGTAAATCAAGATTATTTCTACTCGCATCTGAGATATTGTCGAACCAGCTGTACATCGCACTGGTAGCAGTGACTCGTTTGATATATTGTGAGACGTTTATGTTCATATTTTTACGTTTGCCAAAGGAGGGATGTATCGGTTGACTTCTTTGTTAGGGGGATATATAATATCCAATTCGTCTTAAATCGTTTATGCAATTTGCGCTCTTGACGAAATGTCAATTTTCCGACCATTCGTACGTCACACTGCTACTAGCCAGTCCTTTACAATTTTGTTAGACGTTTAAGTATATATTTTAGAGTATGCTCTTGAATGGATTTATTGAATGATGCTTCCATTCATGATATATTTTATATTTAATTGTATATATAAAAATCTAATCTTAACTCTCTAGTGTGCAGGTTGTGCTCTGGGGAAATGTCAATTTTCGTACCAGTCGTACGTAACGCTGGTGGCAGCATGAGATTTTCTAATTAGTGAGATGTTTAAGGATACATTTTTACATTTGCCCTACCAAGGACTTTTTGATTGGTCATTCTATTTGTCAGATATAGAGTATCTAATTTGAAAAATTTGTCGTAAAGCTCTGATTTAAATTGCGCTTCAGACGAAATGTCAATTTTCGGACCGGTCTTACGTCACGCTTGTAGCAGCATGTTAGTTAATTTGAGAGACGTTAAAGGATATAGTTTTGCCTTTGCTCTACTAAGGAGTTGTTGAGTGGTACTTCTATCCGTGAGGTATTGGGTATTTAATTTGTCATAAAGCTCTGATTTTCATTTCACTCTGATAGAATATCAATTTTCTGAACAAGCGTACGACATGCTGGTTCTATGTAGTCCTTTGCTGATTTGTGAGACGTTTCAGTAAATATGTCTACGTTTTCAATACAAAGGATTTAATGACTGATATTTCTGGTCGTGAAATATTTTATATCAAAATTTGTCTGAAATCGCTGATACAGTTTGCTCTCTAGACTAAATTTTCGGACCGGTTTAACGTTACGCTGGTAGCAGCATGTTGGTTGATAATTTGAGAGACGTTAAAGGATATATTTTTGCATTATTTTCTTCCAAGGACTTGAGTGTTCATTCTATTCGTGAGATTTTGAGTATCTTAATTATTTGTCATGAAGCTCTGATTTACTTTGCGCTCTTTACGGAATGTCAATTTTCGGACCAGTTGTACGTCGCGCTGGTAGCAGTGACTAGTTTAATATTTAGTGAGACTTTCATCTATATATTTTTACGTTTTCTATAGGATGGATATGTTCATTGACTTTTCTGTAGGGCAGATATATAATATCCAATTCGTTTTAAGTCACTTATGCAGTTTGCGCTCTAGACGAAATGTCAATTTTCTGACCAGTCGTACGTCACACTGCTACTAGCCAGTCCTTTGCTTTTTTTGTGAGACGTTTAAGTATATATTTTGCAGTATGCTCTTGAATGGATTTAATGAATGATGTTCCTGTTCGTGATATATTTTATATCTAATTCGTCTTAAATCTCTGATGCAGTTTGTCCTCTTGACGAAATGTCAATTTTCGGACCAGTCGTACGTAACGATGTTGGCAGCGTTTATATTTGCTATTAAGTGAGATGTTTAAAGTTACATTTTTACATTTGCCCTATCCAGGATTTGTTGATTGGCCATTCTATTCGCCAAATATAGAGTATCTAATTTGTTGGATTTGTCGTGATGCTCTGATTTGAATTGCGCTCTAGACGAAATCTAACGTCACACTGGTAGCAGTATGTTGGTTCTTAATTTGAGAGATGTTAAAGGATATATTTTTACAATTGCTCTACCAAAGACTTGTTGAGTGGTCAATCTATTCTTGAGATATTGAGTATCTAATTTGTAATAAAGCTCTGATTTACTTTGCGCTCTGTACGGAATGTCAATTTTCGGACCAGTTGTACATCGCGCTGGTAGCAGCGACTAGTTTGATATATTACGAGATGTTTATGTATATGTATTCACATTTGCCATAGGATGGATGTGTTGATTGACTTTTTTGTTAGGGAGATATATAATATCCAATTCATGCAGTTTAATTTGTCATAAAGCTCTGATCTACTTTGCTTTCTGTACGGAATGTCAATTTTCGGACCAGATGTAACATTCTACTCTTAATTCATAGATCATATGTTAAATTTAGAGAACTTTTTATGTTGACCTACTTTTCGGACACCATATCTCAAAAGTGGGTCAAAATACTTTCTGACGGCAAAAGGCTTACACTATTAGCATACTTTTTGCTATCTGTGTACCAAATTTAAAGGAATATTATTAGAGTGTAGTGTCTGATTCGCAAAATTAAGGAAAAACTCAAACTTTGACCTAGATTTTGACCTTGGCTTTTTAGTGTTCAAATTTTGAGACAAAGTAGATTTTGAGGTCAACTATTCTTGTAGGCTTTCATTATCTTGGCTGCATTACGTCTAAATACCGTGTTTTTCCAATTCATAATTTTCTTCAGCCACATTGACTTAACATGGGGCACCAAAATAGCGATTTTTGAGACCTCAAACCGCCATAACTTTCGAAATTGAAATTTGGTTTGCAGATTCGGATTCCTGAGAAAATTCTACATATATTTCATAACTCACACCTTGAATTTGGAGAATTTTTTGTTTTGACCTACTTTCCGGACGCCATATTTAAAAATCGGTAAAAGTAATCAAAAATCTAATGTCATATCTTTGCTTCGGCTATTGTCTGAACCGTCCTTCAACCAGTGGTGAACTGTTTTTTTTTCAATTTACATGTATACCTGCATATACATGTATCTAAGACGTTTTAGAAAAACAGGTGTGAACTCAATCATATTTCGTAAGACGTCTTGAAAATGGTGGTGTAAACTCGATATAATTTTCCTAAAATGTTTTAGCCAAGACGTCTTCAGATGACGCGTATAGTGTAAATAGGGCTACTGATACTCTTGGGCTACTTTGTACAAAGAACATGTCTGTTTAACAGAATATTGGTCCACTTAGACTTTTTCCAAAACAACTAGTAACTGCAAATATCATTTTTGTGGGAGTGTGGGCTGACCACTAAAACTGAACTTTTGTGATGAAGATAAGGCGGACTGGTTTATGTTTTCAATATGGCTGCTAACCTGGGCATACATGTGCACTAAATAACTGCATGTACAGATTAGGCCATTCAAAATTAATTATATGTTGGCCATTCAAAATTAATTATATGTTGGCCATTCTGATGAAGGGCCTTATATTAAAAACTACAAAACCTTTATTTATTTCAAGGATTTTATATATTATTTAATAGTGAAAATGCAATACCACATTGTGGCTAAGCAAGTAACAATGTCATTTGTATGCATTACAAGTACAGAGTACATGGGGACAATTTGTTTCTTTTGAAAACATAGAATTAAGTGGCATTAATTATAAAAAAAATATTTGAATAGCCTGAGTATTTTTCTAAATAGGGAATAAGTAGAAATTATTTTAGGCAATCCTTTGAGTGTCATGCTATTTATACATGATGCTGCCTTATATTTTATGATATACAATGCGTATCAAAAACGCAACAGATTCTTCTCTTGGAAAAGCACAAAACCAGTGATAACAGCATTGATTTCATTCAATGCACCATAAAGTCATGTGTCTCATCTTTACAATGATATATCACACATTGATATTTGGTCATGGTTGGGCGAGTAATCATTCCATTTGCAAAGTGGGTCAAAATTAGCTTTAGGCCAAGTTATAAACATTGCAAAAGTCAGTGTACGGAGCCCGATGCAATATTGGACGAAAACCTAAAACCAATGCTGACTGCATCCTTTTAATTCAATGTACCAAAAAGCCAAATTGCTCCTCTTTGCAATGGAATATCATTCATTCACAGGGAGTCATCTCTGGCCGAATAATCATTAAGTTTGCAAAGTGGGGCAAAATTCAGCTCGGACCCAAGTTTAAAACATTGCAAAAGTCAGTACAAGGGGCATAGGGGCTATTGGAAGAAGGTGTGACAGGTAATGGCATAGACAGTAAAGTGTTCATACTCATACTCTTGCAAGAATACATCCTATACCCCTCCAAATTTCCACCACATAAAGATGCGCTCATCTGTCCACGTCATGCATGGTTCAGCCCTGAATCATGTTTGGGTAAAGCAAAGAAAACAGCCCATGGGCAAATCTTTCTCGAGGTTTTGCAATATCTGGTGGAGGAATTGTGAGCACAGATGCTCCTGGGATAGCTCCAAAAGAAAAAGTCACAACAATTCAAGTCAGGGGAACTTCCATTGGCACTTAGCCCTTGCACTAAATTTTTCAATATCTAAAACTTGGGGCAGAGCCGATTTTGACCCACTGTGCAAATGGAAGGACTTCTCATCCAACCATTACCACATATATGTGAATGAATGACATATCATTGCAAAGAGGAGAGACATGGCTTTATGGTACATTAAATGATATTGATGTAGTCATCACTAGTTTTGTGATTTTACGAGATAACTACTTGTTGCGTTTTTTTATACGCCCTGTATAGTATACTGAAAGAGGATTTTTCTGAATTATTTGTGTTTAAATATGGGAACTGCAAATTGGCAAATAACTTTAAGGTTAAATGTCCATAAAGACATTTAATTTCAAATTCCAAAGCAAATGCCAGTGGGCATTTATTAAAAGTGACCCTATAACTATGTAGAATATGGCAAACATGTTTAGAAAACTGGCGAGAAGCAATTTAAATAAGAACATCCATTCTCGTGGAATTGCCCTCGTGTGCATTTAATTGCAGACATGTTATCCTAATTGCCCATGGGCATTTAAAATAATAATCACATCCCAACTCTTAAAACATGCTTAAGAAACTGTTGGAGTCTCAAAAGGCTGCAAAAGCATTCATTTTTGAAACAGGAAAATTTAGTCCCCCTAAAAATGCCCATGTGGGGATTTATTCTCAATTTTCGTGTAAATGCCCGTGAGAATTTATTATAAATATTTTTTATTCCCATTCATATTTCTTCAGTCAGTCGCAGTCAAAATTAAGCCGATTGCTTTCATTTCTTGTGTTAGAAAATGGCAAAATTTTGACAAAAATAGCATCTCTCAAAGTTAACCACCCTAATGTCAAGGTCAAATGTCAAAATTCTCAGAAATAACATTTTAAGTAATAAGTCATACTTCGTCTTCCAATTCCATGTTAATATACATTTGTTCTGTAAGGGAGCTAACGTGTCCTTTTCAATGAGTTTGGTTCATCAGTTGCCAAAAGGTACTTTTCAAAAAGTGTTTCGTTTTTGGGACAACCGTTATACATCATTACACCACATTTCCGAACTGTACAAAGCGATGGATTCATAAGTTGATCATACAATGTAATTTCAATTTCAGGACGATTCCATGTATGTGTGCCGCTTTAAACATGTAATGGCTTTATTTGCTCGATCCCCAATCACTGATGACAGTTGCTAAATATGTATACTTTTGAACATTTTGTTTATTCTAACCATTCATTTTTGGATCGTTCTTGACAAACGTTGCCACATTTCCAGAATTTCATGATTTTTGTTTTATCAATGTTAATTTCAGGTTTCCAGACATTACATAAAGACTCGAGAGTGTTTAGTTTTAGTTGCATTTCTTCTTGGTAGTATCAAATATAACTAAATCGTCTGCAAATAGCATATTGCTAACATTTTGAGTTTTAAGGGATGGAGATTTCCCAATATTATCAAACTTTTTATTTGATATAGTAGTGCAATTTGTGACTGGCATCAGATTTATGCCAATCAACGTAACTTTTAACAATCTTCCCAATGATACGTGTATATCATACTAAATTTTGGTACCATATATCTCGGTTTTGGCTGTAGAGGGGACTTATTGGACATTTTCATTGCATTTAGACACAATTAGAACTCTAATTTGAACATGGTCTCAATATTAGCGTCAGAGAACCCATACATATAATTGTCATATCCCGGGTGTCATATAGACCTGATGATTTTTATGGGTCTAGCATCTAGCATGAAGTTCAGGTAATATATTACTTCCTGGTATTTGGCCTTGAGGATACGATTTTACGCCGGCCGAAGACAATGGACCTCATATTTAAATGTAATTGGCATAGAGATGGCACAAAACGGTGGTAATAGTATAGTATCTATATAACTGAATAAAGCTTGAATAATAGATGCCACTCTTGTTTGTAATTAATTTGCTTGGACTAAACTTCTATTGACTTTAATGCTAGAAACCGGAGCTAGAAACTTGCATAGTCACTTGATTTCATGATTTATCAAAACGCGTTGGTCGAATCTGTCTGAAACTCGAATGGCATACTATTGTATAACCCTGTCAGTGTGCGTATTGTACATGAAAATGTTTGGCGTCATTCGAATAAACCATTGTTTTGAAGGATTTTAGCATTACATCAATGGAGATTTGTCCCAAGTTTTTTTTAAATGCCATGGAAAAGGATTTAAAAGGTATAACTGTGTAAATCAAAGCTATTCTTTGAGAAAACGTTCCACTGACATCAAATATGCTATCAAAAATAAAGAAAATTAAATCATTAGAGGTAATAAGTGCAAATCTCTTAAAATCTCATTCCCGCGATCTCATTAAAAACGAGAATTTGCAAGATTTCAAAGCTATTTTGAAATTCCCCTATTGGATGACATGTAGGCGAATGGCTCACTAGAACCGAATGGCAGTCTGGCCGAAAATTAAATTATTGGCGACATCTATTTATTCATATTCATTCATCTTTACGGCCCCGGTAGAAGGGGGCGAGATTTGTATTGGCACGTTCAATTACCAATTTTGGAAACAGGCCTCATTTGCCATCGGAATATCTCTGTGAATGTTCGCTGTTTTGTGAATATTCTCTGCAAGTTTGAATCGATTAACTTAAAATTCTTTTTAACTGATGTTAAGATTTCAAATTTTACTTTAGCAGGCCTGTCAACTTGGGAACACCAAACATGAGTGACTTGGAAATGTTGAACACCTCCCCTCAAAATGTGGACAACTTGGTCCAAATCTGAACACCTTGATGCAAATTTTGAACACCTTGGTTTAAATTTTATTACATCTTGCCAAATTTTGAACATCTCAAATTTTACGCGTGTGACTTCAAATTCTTCAGCAAATGCGTGACAAATACGCAAATTGCGGGACAGTTGACAGGCCTGCTTTAGTATGCACGGCCCTAGGAGAGATCATGGTCAAGATTGTTCACATGATCATAATTTGAACTTTGATTGGACATCATCATGCATTGCGAATCATGAATTTAAAAAATTATTTCCATAAATACGAAGGAATATGACAGAATTATGGGAACCACTCATTTCTCCAAGAGCTCCCTTATTGGAAGCTGAATATAGCTCTCCTGAAGAAATATACTAATCGGGATTCTCGCAGACATATTCAATAAGCTTGAAAGTTGATAACTGATCTCATAGACAAGAACAGGGATCATTGGAACCCGACAACTATGGATCCGAGGCATTATATTCAGTGGTAATTGGAAGACGACAACTATGCACCTTGGGCATAGTCAATGATAATTTGAAGAGGACAACTGGATATCAGGCATATTCAATTGTAATTTGAAACGGACAACTTTGGATCTCAAACATATTAAGTGGTCATTGGAAGCTGAAAACTATGGATCGCGTGGAAACATGTAGATCGCGGTAAATCACAATATACATCAAAACTTAATTTATTCTTTAAAACATCACAATTTTAATGTGAAAGCACAAGCCCTTCTTGTTACATTCCATTAGAGTTCACAAAAATCGAATTGGGAATTTCTGCTGAATCAAGAAATAATAGGACTTTTGTCAGGTGTCCAAATTATAAATATTCTAAAAAGTAATCTGACAAAAACCTCTCACGTCTACTACCAACTATTGATTTATCTAGACAGCAACTCCTCTATTGAAAGTATCACTTAAACAGTATTTAATAGATTAAAAACTCACACTTCATCACATCACTAACACAAATGTTACTTCTGTTCGAAATGGGTTCAATTTCTGCAATATCAAAGAACTGAGAAGTTTACAAGAAACCCATATTTTATGCCATATTTTGAGACATGAATGCTTTTGGAAAGTGGCTTTGGTAAGTCATTTGATTATTTCATGAATTTGAATGGACTTACATTAAAGAATAATGACCCAGTTTTAACATTAAGAAATATGCATACATTTGTATAGCTTTTGTCATACAGTTCATAGGTTATTCTAGAACATACAGACATGTGTTCATTATTTGAATTAACATTAAGACATTGAGAGGCAAGTGGTGCCACAGAGGATATGATAATGATCCTTCCAATGTAAGGATTGTACATAATTTGTAATCACAGTTCTTTCAAGAGTTTCGTCACCATTGTCAGTCTAGGTAACAGTCATGAGTGGTGTCACAAGAGAGTTACATCATCATCGTTGTATATGTAACAGAGCTATTAATAGTGCCAAATACAGAAGACTACGATAATAATGTTCTTCTCTCCAAGTTGAAGATTTCACACAATGTGTAATTGCAGTCCATAACTTTGTTACACAAAATTGTTGCAAACGCCTATCACTAGAATCAGTAACAACATGCTTTGTAGATACAAACACTGCAAACAGCCGCAGCAGACCGTGGATCTCTGTCGATCTTCTCTGTCACTTCATTTACAGGATAGACATTGTTACGACCTGAAAGTACTTGAAAAAAAGAGGAAAAAGTCAGCAAGGAGGATTTGACTTTTTCCTTAAAAGGAATAGGTGAATATATCCATATCTCTTGAATGACCATTTTTAGATATGAGTATATTTATATATTGCTTTTAAGACTATGCATTAACATGCAAATGTCACCACCGGCCATTTGTTTAAGAAGCAATTTGTAACAGTAGCTTAACACTAATTGCTGACTGCCATCAATGAAGTAGTTTTGTCCACTAAATAGAGAATATCACACTATTTCACAACTCCTGGTGGTGACATATAAAATCAAATCATTGCTGAGTAAGTACAGTTTAATGAAAACTATGAATAAAAATCGTATGATTGCTGAATTAATTGGCAAATTAGTACTTCTATAGCTAGCATTATAGTAATGATCAAGACCAAATTGATTGAATTTAAATTATTTTCCCAGTTTTGTTCCCAAAGTCTCAGAATGAAAAATTACCAAACACATGCAAACAGTGTTCCCTGTGTAGCAACCAAGGCCCGATTTGCTGAAAAAAAGAAAAAATATATGTAATGCATGTTAATCTTATTATTCCAATTCAAATAAATTGCCAAAAAAGAATTTGGAGGGATGGAGTAAGGTAGTAATAGATTTTAACTAGTCAATACAATACTGCTTACAGCACTGTAACCATTGTGTGGCTGCTACCAAGTTCATTCTTCTGGCTAAATTGTGATTTTGTGCAAGGAGAAAATTGATTTATTAGTATCTTCTTTGCAACAGTAGTAGTTGTAGTCCAGAGCAGTAGTAGTCCTTGTCCTTCTTCACCTTCAAAACACCTACATTGAGAAAAATGGTTTAAATGACTACCCTAACTCTGAAGCATGCAAGGGATTACCATTTGACAAAATAACATTTAAACCTGAACAATCAGTGTCTAGGTCATAGATACCTAGACGGTTGATTGCTCTTTGGACCAAATAATGGTCGCATTTGCACTGACCTCAACACAAGAAAAAAATAGTTGAAAACTAAAAATTGGCTACAAATAGGCTACAACACAGAGAATCATCTCCCAGCTCGCACCAAAAAAAAAGAATTGAAAATTGAAACCTAAAAACTGAGACTAACATACTTAGTATGTTAACTCTCAGGTGAAAGTGAGTGTAAAAACAACAATATGAAGACAACATTTCCAAATATGGCGCACATCTCTTCCATTTTGAAATGAACCATTGGTGGATTCCACTATTCTTTCATTTCAGAACATAGAACCTGTTATGAAGCTTTCAAGCCAACCACACCTTAACAAAAGATCAAACATTGGGTGACCGTCCCCTCGCTCATGCTGTATGCTGTCCAGAGAGATTAAGAAGAATTACAAGAATGCCATCCTTGGCCATGCATCATTAGGATACATCACATTAAAAAGATGAAATACAAGACCAGACCACTATCAATTCCTGATAGTATCTTTACTGTAACACTGATAAGCAATGTCTACCTACCTAAAGAGTACAAGGGTAACATGTATCAACTCCAATGCCGTTCCTGTACAGTAACCATGTGAACCCTAGCTGCGTCCTCACAAGATCTTAAGAATCACACTATACTCGTCATAGCCAACTAATCGACACTGATGCTTGAAAGCAAAAATGAGTGGACCATCACCAGAATTCACCGAGACCCCTCGGGAACTATCAAATGCACACCGGCACCACAGCAATACATTGACCTGCATCCTGGTGGGTGCAGGTCGACCACGTTTACTAACGAGTAACTGTGGCTTTCATCAACCATCAGAATATAGGCGAAACAAGAACCAAGTTCAACAATAAGAATCCAACATGGAAACTGTTGGGTTGGGACTTACAAGGAACTGATACCTGAAACCCATGCATCTAGAGATTGATAGACACTGATCATCAGATTCACAGTGGAGATACCACAAGGAACATCAAATGGTATGATCAAGTAAGCCAGAGCTCTCAATGCAATGGATCAGAATGACCCATGCTCAACGATGCCATCCTTAGATATTCCTCGAAATCAATCGGGACAACATAAAACATGAACAAAGGAAGGCCTCCCAACAATTGATCTCGTATTAAGACATGTTCAGCCATCCAGCTTCATAGCAGACTCCACATTCCTCCACTCCAGAATAATGGGCTGGCCAACAAAATCCACCGGTTCATTCAAAATGGAAGGTGCCCCACTAAACGAGAAGAACCTGCCTCCCAACCCATAGATGGAAATTATTGTCTAGCTGGAGATGACCCTTTAAATGACTATCATAACATAAAAATGACTAACATAGAAAATCAAGATTACTTAACTTAGGTGACAGGAACATTGCAACTCTATTACATCAAGGGTCGTGTTGAAGTAGCTTCCAGTGTATCCAGTGATCTTGGCTTGGCTTCCTTCCCATGTGTGGGTCATCTTCACTTGGATTCCTATGGGTGGCTAGGTTTCCATTTATGGCTCGATGCTTATCTTCCAGCAGTTGACTCATCTTCCAGAGGACAGCCTGACTTCCTGTAGGATGACCATCTTGGCTTGACTTCCAATTGATGGCTAGGTTTCCATTTGTGGCTTGATGCTTATTTGTGGCTTAATGCTTATTTGTGGCTCATCTTCCAGCAGGTGGCTATCTTCCAGCAGGTGGCTATCTTCCAGCAGGTTTGTGGATCATCTTGTGGGTCATCTTCACTTGGGATTCCTATGGGTGGCTAGGTTTCCATTTGTGGCTAGATGCTTATCTTCCGGCAGTTGACTCATCTTCCAGAGGACAGCCTGACTTCCTGTAGGATGACCATCTTGGCTTGACTTCCAATTGATGGCTAGGTTTCCATTTGTGGCTTGATGCTTATTTGTGGCTTAATGCTTATTTGTGGCTCATCTTCCAGCAGGTGGCTATCTTCCAGCAGGTGGCTATCTTCCAGCAGGTTTGTGGGTCATCTTGTGGGTCATCTTCACTTGGATTCCTATGGGTGGCTAGGTTTCCATTTGTGGCTAGATGCTTATCTTCCAGCAGTTGACTCATCTTCCAGAGGGCAGCTTGACTTCCTGTAGGATGACCATCTTGGCTTGACTTCCAATTGATGGCCTGGCTTCCATTAGTTGCTCATCTTCCAGCAGGTGCCTCGGTCTTCCAGAGGCCAGTTTGGATTCCTTTTTGTGGTTCAGATTCTAGTGGGCTTCTAAACTCCAGGCTAAAGGTAAATCTGAAAACAATACTGTATATTAGGAAATGAAATATTGTACTTACTTGACTATGATCCTAGAGACCTCTCCTGTCCTGGACAATGCTACTTTAGGCATATAAAGACATCACCAGAAGAAGTAATAGCAGTATGATATATGGATACAAACACTGTAGACGGATGGTGTAGACTGTGGTTCCTCTTCTCGGACAACACAGAATTTTTCATGGCCAGGGTAAGAGGAGGGCACCTGGAAGTACATACAAAATAGGAAAAAGTCAGCAATGAGATAATGACTTCTTTTAGGTTCAATTGATTGCTTGGGGTTGAGTTTGACTGGGGTGGAGTTGATTTTGGGTTGAGATGACCTGCAAGAACCCGAGATGATTTCACCCTACCCTACCACGTGACCACGTTTAAAAGGGAAACAGGGTACAGCTAAGTTGCAAATGAGGGACGTGGGTTTAATTCCATATTTCTGAAAGTAAAATACATTTTACATTCATTTCTTGTGATATACCAGACATAAAATAGATTCATCAAGCAGTTTGTAGAATATTGTTGGCTAAAAAACATAAAGGCAAAGACCGGTAATAGTGGCGCAGTCAAGCATAACTCTAAAGCAATACAAGATACATTTCAGTAAATCTATTATCTATCTATTAAAGTACAGGGAGCGTGTAAGTTTCACTTAGAAAATGTTATTTATTTTGACATTGGTATGTAACAAAAAAACAGTTAACTGTTATTTAAACTGCGTGTCATTGGGTTATATGTAGATGTATTTTCTGGTTTGTTATTCAACTGTATTTTCGTGAATCAATTGTTTTTCTCAAATCTTAAGATGAATAAAAAGTCGTCCAAGAAATGTATCTTTACTTTGATGTAAGGCACAACATATTGTGAAACATTTTTCCTCCTGTCACAAAGAGGATAATGTTTGTTTTATGGTGTCTGGCAAGCATTTCCATATATACAGACACGTCGAAAATAGTTTGCGCACGTATTGTTACACATTTTCTCTTATTAACACAACATAATGTGACGTTTTTGAGAAAAATGTACACATTTGGAAATCCTCCATTTCGTCCTCTACATTTGCCTCTTTATCTCAAAATATTTAATACGAATAACTCTGATATCATATACATATTACAATGGGTAAGGAGCAGCATAAAACACGAATCAAATGAAATAAATATATGTGTTGCTATGTTTGAAAATAGGTGAATGGCCTAAATTCGCCCCCTATTTTAATGAATTTTGAAAACCTTTCGTCCTCCACTTTTCCACATACACCAGAACACAGATACATTTGCGAACCAAATCAACTACTTATTAGTAAACTAGAGCAAAATAAGCATGCATGCTTTATTTAAAATTGGTCTCTTATATTTTGTTAAATGAACACCCGAAAAGTTGAAGGTATCAAAAAATGAGCAAAAAAGGTCGCTGTTGACAAATTCTATGTTTCAAACTTCATGAGGTCACAATAGGGGACGCTTACTAGAATTCACTCCTTGAAATTAAACCTGCACATAGCTCCAAAATGCAATATGTTGACATATATTGCTTTTACATTTTGAAGCTCTAATATAAAGTTTATGTAAATAAAAATTGTTTTTTCTGCATAATATCAAAGAACAATCATTTAGTAAAAAAGTGATTGCGGAATTCAAACCCGCGCCTCATGCATGCTGAGTGAGCATTCTACCGCAAGTCTACTGAGATATTGTGATTGACAGGAGTAATTAAACGCTACTTAAGTTGAATGCAATAAATCGGAAGTGACGTCACATTCCTTTTACAAACCTTCCCAAAATCATATCGTCATCACCAATCGAAGCAATTCAATGAACAATCTTTGAAATGACACATTTATTGTAAGTATTTATACACAAGATTTGCCCCTTTTGTTCATCATTCTATAATCTTTCATTAAGCTCAAAATGATAAAGTTCACCCCCTAAACAACCCAAGATTGCGTTTTGGGGCAAACAGCAGCTTTAAACTCCCATCTACCTTTATCAAGACTATCAAAAAGTATAATAGTCAAATATTGTTTCAGTTATGAGCTTTTAAAGACGAAAAATTATTCAAAATGTAACGTGTCAACAGCGGATATTTGCCAGATTTTTGTAAAAGAACTGTTTTTAAAAAAAGAATGCGCGAGAATTGAGAAAGGAGTGTATTTGCTTTGAAAACTTCATTAAAGCAGCCTTAAAATGATATATAACTTTAATTAGAATATCTTCCTATATTCCAAAGCATTAAAGTTACATCCATGCGATACCCTAATAACACAAGTGCACCATCTTTTTGCGATGTGGCGCAGCTTTTCAAATATTCTAATGACTCCCCTTGTATGCATTCCTGCATCAATGAACTTCAATGAAACATATCATTCCTTCCATTATTCATTATATTCTGGCTTTGAATGTCAAATACAGCTCCATGTACCACTGGATTAGGATATCAAGCACATTAGAAATAATGATTGGCACGTGTAGGTCATTATTGTACTCGTCTGAAAATTAAGATTAGATCAATTACATTGAGTGGTTCAAAAATATACTATCACACTATTGTACAAAACATGAGTCTAGTATATTATTGACTATATCAGAATTGTTTTTTTGTGTAAAACCAGCGAATCGTTTCTGTATAATCATCTTACTCATCAACTTTTGCAACTGTGTACTATGACATATCAAATATTTTAAAATATAAAACGATATGTTCGGAATTTTGGTGCAATGACATTGAATTTTTAATTGTCCAAAAAATAACCAGATTATCGAAAATTTAGTGTGTTTAGATAGATATTGAGATCATAAGAAGAATTCGGAAGGATACGTGAATAAATTAAGGATATTTTAAAACGAACAAATAAACTGTAAGTGACATTATACGTACATTTGTAGGACTTGTTAAAAGACGAGTCAAGTAATCTTTATTATCGCCCATCGACGGTGCGAATCGTTTCGTCCAGTGGAATACGTTAAATATACGAACGATCATGCCAGGAGGAAAGAAAAAATTATACGCAGTAGCACGGGGCCTTAAATTAGGAATATTCGAAGAATGGTCAACTGTAGAGAGACTTACGAAAAAAGTCAAAGATTGTAGATTCAAATCCTTTAATGGACCGGATGCTTTTGGAGCAGCTATAGGCTTTTTGAAAATAAATGGAGTAACGTTTGATATCAAAGAATGTGAGCTAAATAAAGAGTTTGATCCCGTAGAATCAGAACACGAAACTAGTTATAAAGCTAGATTACGTGGCCATGTGGGTGAAAATAAGCAGGAAGATACGATCACAATTGAAGTAGAGAATACAGAGGATGAAGAATGTATTGAAATTGAGGTGGAAAATAAAGCAAAACAAGGTGATGACGATATAGTAAATAAGGATGATGAGAAGAATGTGACAACAGGGAGTAAACATGAAGTAAATAAAGTTATTGAACGTGAAAATACAAAAGAAATTTCAAGAGAAAGCCCGAATGAAGGAGAAAATTGCAAGGGGAATATCGAAGAACAATGCATCAATCGTATGAATACTTTAGAGGCAAATATGGTTGTAAACAATATGGAGACTAGTTACATGAAAGGACAAATGAACGAAATACAAAAATCGTTAAATGAAATATTGCCAACGTTGAAAAGTATGACAATAATCAAAAAAGATGTACTAGAAAATGAGAAGAAAAACAAGGAAATAGAAACGTACAGATCCAAATTTGAAAAATTGAGTATTGAAAACGAAACTTTGAAAGGTAAGCTGAAACAAAAAGAGATGGAATACGACATATTAGAATCTACAAAAGAAAACATGGAAAAAGAAATGGATGAACTTCAAGTACAGTTTAGGAAGAAAGATAAAGAGGTCAGAGATTTACAGCGTAACAAAGATGAAATAGAGGATAGAATTTGTGTTCGTATAGATGAGATTGAAGAACTCCTGCAAACGAAGGAAAAGACGCTCATCGAAAAAAATGTTATAATCAAGGAAAAGGAGAAAATGATTATAAGATTAGAAGACAGGTTAGAAAATATGAAGCTGGAGTATGAAAGAAATGGAGAGCAATGGAAAACAGCACAAACAAAAAAACAAACAGACGAACATATGTATGCCAATGATACAGCGAACAAGAAAGAGGGAGATAGCAGGGAGGAATCCAGTTTCATTTTCACACATGATTCAATCGCCAAATATCTCGATATCAGACGATGGGCTCAAGATCTGAGACTGGACTCTCACAATGTAAAACAATACGCTACATATACGTTACAGGGTACAAAAGAAAAACTCGAAAATGTCCGTACCACAGTTACCACTAACACAACGATAGTAAACCACACGGGAATAAACGACATAAGACAGCATGGAAGCCCAGAAACGGCTGCAGACGAATATATAGAATGGGCGAGAAACACGGCAAAAGACTGCAAGAATCTCATTATATCTTTACCATGCCCGACGGAAGATAGACGATTAAATGAGGACATCGCAATATTTAAAGATCGTATAACCCAGGGACTTAAGAACACTGAAAAAGTACATTTCATTATGAACCACGAATTTGGAGATAAAGATGGCTTTCTAAACCGACAATACAAAGAATTCGGGAAAACACACTGCCATTTGAATAAATACGAAGGGACATACTTATTAGCCGGCAACATCAAGTACAAAGTACAATATGTGATGGGTATCCCGAGAGTTAAAAGGGATAGTGCACAAAACAGGCGACAGTTCATGGACAATGACACGAAAAACATACAACCTTTCACACACAGATGGGAGGTAGACCGAAATAGGGGGAGAAACACCAATGAAGATAGAAGAGGAGATACGATAAACGGTAGATGGCCCAACGATCGAGAAAATAGATCTGACAAGAGGTTTGATAGAACCGAGCACGTATATGAGAGTCGCGACGAGTGTCAAGGCCAGGGTAGTTTAGATCTCTTGATTGAAGCTCTAAATAAGGTTGTACAGAACAGGCGCTGAATATACAATAATTCAGTGCTACGTTAAGAACGATATTCAGTTCTGACATGAAAGACAAACATGTTATAGTTATTTTTTATTTTTTGTTTTTGTTTCTATAGCTGTAAGGTTTATTAAGATATATTCGATGCATGACTTTATTAAGTATAATTACAGTTGATTTGCATGAAAACTGCAAGTGTGTACTTGAAAAGAAAAAAGTATAGTTGTACTTGAAAAGAAAAAGTATAGTTGAAAAACACTTCATGAGTAGATTTTCTGGTTAGCTGAACATAATAACATATATTCATAGTTTATAATAGAACAGACATGGTTATATCTAACGTCGAGGTAGCATCATATAATGTACATGGTCTCTTTAAAAGGGAGGATGGAAGTCGATTGTCGAAACTAGAAGACGATACATTTATCAACGAAATAACAGCTGATATTTTTGCATTGAGTGAAATTAAAGCAATGGAAAGTGATAATATCGATATAAATGGGTACAGTTTAAAGAAAAAACTTATTCGACCAAGGTTAGGTAAATCTATACATGGAGGAATGGCAGTTTATGTGAAAGAAAAGTTGAGACATATTGTAAAATTTGTTAAAAGTGGAGATTATGATTATGTATGGATTAAACTAGAAAAAAAGGTTTCAAGTTGATGGCGGATATTTATATATGTTTTGTGTATAGACCACCTTCAGAAAATTCAAAATATAACATAAGTAGAAATAATAAAGAATCAATTTTTGAAAAAATTGAGATGGACGTAGCTAATTTTAAAAAAATGGGGAATGTTATGATAATGGGGGATATGAATGCCCACGTAAATGCCCAAATGGATAAAGATTTCATTCAGGACGATGATAATGACGAGCTTAATGATTTCCTACCAGCAAATTACCAAGTAGATAATGTTATGAGGGACAGAAATTCAAAAAAATATGAAAAAACTGATGCATGGGGCAAAGAAATGCTAGAGTTATGTATTTCAAGTCAGATGCGTATTCTAAATGGTAGGACAGTGGGTGATAGTATGGGGAAATTGACGTGTTACCAGTACAACGGTGCTTCGACAATCGACTTCTGTATTGTAGATGTAGAGTTATTAAAAAAAGTATTGTTTTTTAAGGTTCAAGATTTAACAGAGTTTTCTGATCATTGTCAAATATGTGTTGCATTAGACATGGTGAGAGTGTTGAACGATAACGAAGATATTACGAATCTAGAACCAATTCCCGTGACTCCTAAATGGAATGATATTATTGCTGAAAAGTTTAAGGTACACATGAGCTCAGTTGGAGTTGAACAAGAAATAAAACATGTTATGGGAATAAAACTTAGAGAGTATAATAGCAACAAAGATTACCTGAACGATATTGTTAAAAAAATAGTTGATATTTATAAACATGCAACAATTGCTATTAAATGTAGGCCAATTGTAAGTAGGGGTCATTCTAAAAACAAGAAGGTGAAGAACAAATGGTTTGATACAGATTGTAAATGTTTGAAAAAACGAATAAGAAATATTGGAGTACTAGTAGGGCAATGCCCAACAGATGGAAATATTGAAGAATTGTATAGATTAAGAAAAATATATAAATCAGTTATACGTAAAAAGAAACGAGAATATAAGGATAAATTGGTGAGAGGTGTAATGAAACTAGAAAAAAATGACCCGAAAGCATTTTGGAAAACCATAGAGGAATTCAAAGATGGTAAACATGATGTTAAGGATGATAAATGTAATCAAATAGCTCCCGATAAATGGGTTCGATATTTCAAAGATTTAATGAAAGAGAATATGGAACAAGTTGGTAAATATGATAGCAAAAAGGATAATAATTATACTTTTATTGACATAGAACACTTTAATCGTGGAATATCAATGAAAGAACTTAAAAAAAGTATAAATAAGTTGAAGAGCAATAAAGCCGTTGGTTTAGATTCAATTAGAAATGAAATGTTAAAAAATAGTCCAGACATGTTGATACAGGTGATAAAAAATCTTTTTAATAATATCCTTGACAATAACATTTACCCTACTCAATGGAGAGAGAGTCTAATTAAACCTTTATTTAAAAGTGGAGATTATTTATTACCAAATAATTATCGTGGGATTGCGTTATCAAGTGCAATGAGTAAATTGTTTGCGGATATTTTGAATAAAAGAATGGAAGAATTCATAGAGTCGCAAAATATAATTCATAGAGAACAAATCGGGTTTAAAAAGAATTGCCGAACTGCAGATCGCTTATTGATATTGAAACAGCTAATTGATAAACACGTGACGGTAGGGAAATATTTATATACATGCTTTGTAGATTTCAGAAAAGCCTATGATAGCATACCCAGGCCACTTTTATTGCAGAAATTAAAAAATCTAGGCATGGGAGGCAAAATATATGATATAATCGATAACATGTACTCAAGTGTCATATACAGAGTAAAACTTAAAAACGGGTTAACAAGTCCAATACACTCTAAATTAGGATTAAAACAAGGCTGCTTAATCAGTCCTTTATGTTTCAACTTATATATAAATGACATAATAGATATTTTTGATGACCAATGTAAGCCTGTCAAAATCGGTAGTAATGATGAAACGTTAATAAATGTACTCTTATATGCGGATGATCTGGTCTTGATATCAGAAACAAATGAGGGACTACAATACTGTCTTGATAAACTAAAAACATATTGTTCAAAATGGAAATTAAACATTAATATTGAAAAAACGAAAGTTGTGATTTTTAATAAATCAGGAAAAATAATAAAACACAGTCATTTTAAATTTGGAAGTATAAATATAGAAAAAGTAAATGAATATAAATATTTGGGATTTGTTTTAAAAAGCTCTGGGAGTTTGAAACATGGCATATCAGAATTAAGTAAGAAGGCGATGAAAGTTATTTTTATGATGAGACAAAATTTTAAGTTTTCAACTATCAATGTAGAATTGCACACAAAAATCTTTGACATGTGTGTTAAGCCTATATTATTATACGGAAGTGAATTTTGGTCAATGCTTCAATTGAAAGTTGACAGAAGGATTAGTCAAGGGGACCTTAAACTAGAGAGTTCTTATGAAGACTTTATTCCTGAAAAAATACACAATAAATTTTGCAAATTCCTTTTAGGGGTTAACAAATATACTTCAAGTTATGCCGTTAAAAAAGATTTAGGAAGATTTCCATTAGCTATAGACTCACTTATATATTCCATAAAATATTGGTTGAAATGTGTGCATCAAACAAACGCGGATAGCTTAATAAATATATCATTTCGGGATAAAAATAACATATATGTCAAACATATGGAATGCATATTAAAGTACTTTCATTTTCAACATGTCTTTGAAAATGGGAGTACGTTTGGAATAAAACGATTACTAAAAGCAATTAAACTTGAAATGCAAAGAAAATATATAGAACTTAATGATAGAGCTATAAGGGAAAATAGAAAACTTGGAAATTATATGAAAATTGATTACAATCTGGAAAGATATTTAACATTAAGCGTGAACAAAATGTTAATTTTTAAAATGGCCAGGTTTAGATTAGCAAACCATAATTTAAGAATTGAAACAGGGAGACACGAGAAAAAGAAAAAAGATGGCACCAAACAGCATCGACTTGAAATAAATGAAAGAATTTGTCAGATTTGCAATAAGGGGGAAGTAGAGGATGAAAAGCATTTTCTTCTTGTGTGTGATGGCTATAAAAAATGTAGATTTGAATTTTTTAATAAACTAAGTTTTATTGACACATTTGATAATATGTCGGATAAAGAAAAATATAACTTTTTGATGACTTCTGATGATTTTGAAATTGTTAACGAATTGATACATTTTATAAATAAACTTTTTAATCAGCGTCGGGAGCTATTTGAAAAAGGAAAGATTGTATGATGGTATTTGTGAAACAATGCATGTTGTTTTTTTAACTGTATAATTATATGTAAATGTCTTGTAATTGATTTTGTGAGGAAACCAAGTGTTTGGTTTGAAACACAATAAAATCTTGAATCTTGAATCTTGAATCTATTATTTACATTCTTTCTTCAACCATCATATAACTTGGAACATGGACTTCACTACTGCACCACTGAAGTTCAACATGTACAACATATCCCCAACAAGAAGATTTTAGGATGGAAAATCCAAAATGGCAACCTCAGAATTTACCCAGAATGCAAAAAAACTTAACCTGGTTCAAGATTTTCATACTAAGATTGGTTTAAATTGATTGGATATTTAAATAAATGCACTGTAACTATATAATAGGCAAACTTTCTGAAACATTCAGTTTATGCAAGGTCCATAATCTTTTGTTTATTATTGTGTTAGGAAAGTTGACTAAATAGAACGTCATATTCACATGGGCGTGCTAATGTATAGCGTCATGAAAATAGCAGCTACCAGCTAACGGATGGCAAAATCATTTAAATATGAATATTGCCTGCTGTGCGTCCCATTAATTGCCAAACCCAGTAGCTGAGCTAAATATCGTTTTAATCTGGTATTAAAGCAGAAACTTACACTGACTATAGAGGTGTTCGGAAATTGTAAATAGCGGAAGTACACCTGGCGCATGCGCTTAGACTCAAAATACATCATCATGTGTTTGATCGGGGATTAACCCCAGAGTTCAAAGATGACATACGCTTATAATGTTAACCTGTATCCAGATGACCCACATCTCTGAATGGTCAAAATCAACAAACAAAAATGGCAGATTCAAAATTTTCTAATAACGCTTCGAGTAATTTATGGAGTGTCAACCAATATCATAGCTTGTTTTTTCACATCAAGATAAAGAAAGATTTAAGGGATATGCTTAAATCAATTAAAACATCACAACGACGCCTTATATTTGAAAACTAACTGGTGAGAATTTGCGCAAACAAAGGTGGTACGCAAGAGACGTAATGTGTCAGTCAACGCTAAAGCTCTTGGCCTTTCCGTCCTCATATAACACATTTTAATTTTGTTTGATCATTTGACAATGGCATAAAAAGTCATGTGATCACTGTAAGTCGACAAACTGGTTGTTCAATATTGCAACTTCAAACTGACGGATTAATTTATGCAAAACAATAGGTAAATCTGGTAGCTGGTAGTCGCTATTTGCATTTGCAAATATAAGCTTTAATGATTGAATGTTGATTTTTGTGTGTATTTTATAGGGTGTATTTTTGAATTGCCCCGGGTGAGTTCATTGCATAATATTTAATAAGTAATCCCCGAGGTATCTATATGTTTTCATAATTCACTAAAAGCAGTTCATTCAGGCGCACTTAAAGGGGCTAAAAGGCCTGTTGAGAGAAAATGGGATTATTTTATTTTTTCTGAGCTATCAAGGATTTATGTCTAAAAGAATGTATTTAATAATTATAATATATTAATCAGTGTTAACTACAGTCGCATTAATGAAAGTTGTTCTAATAAATGGCTATCCTTTATGGACACCAGCTAATAAAGCAATACCTAATATATGTGTCAAGTATCGTCAATAATAATCATATCAAACAAGTGTAAAATACAATATATGAATCAGTCATCCTTTATGGATTGGCTCATAGGAATGATAATCATACGTATTTGAAGCTAAAGTCAATTGACATCCTAAGTGGGAGTATGTTACCTGACGAAGTAATTATAATTATTTATATAAGCATGTAAATAAACTAGGTAATTGTCACCCTTTATGGATGAGCATACATTAACAAAGTATTTGTCATCCTTTATGGATGAGCATTAATGGACTTAGTATTTGTCATCCTTTATGGATGAACATAAATGGACTAAGTATTTGTCATCATTTATGGATGAGCATAAATGGAGTAAGTATTTGTCATCCTTTATGGATGAACATAAATGGACTAAGTATTTATCATCCTTTATGGATGAGCATACATGAACAAAGTATTTGTCATCCTTTGAACATAAATGGACTAAGTATTTGTCATCCTTTATGGATGAACATAAATGGACTAAGTATTTGTCATCCTTTCTGGATGAGCATTATTGGACTAAGTATTTGTCATCCTTTATGGATGAACATAAATGGACTAAGTATTTGTCATCCTTTATGGATGAGCATAAATGGACTAAGTATTTATCATCCACGATGGATGAGCATAAATGATCCAAGTATTTGTCATGCCTAATGGATCAGCATACGTGAACTAAGTATTTGTCATCCTTAATTAATGGACTAAGTAAAGTAAGCAGTTACATCAGAGTTTTTCTAAAAAGTATGAAGTTTTCTCAATAGGTGGCCAACTAAAATGGTGTAGTAATTTACCCAATAGATGGCTAATAAAAATGGCGGAAATAAAAAGTTTACCAAATTTACTTTGCAAACGGACTACTAATAAAAATGGCGGAAACTTGAAATGATTCCATATTTCACCCAATAGATGGCTAATAAAAATGGCGGGAATAGAAAGTGTGCCAAATTTATCGGACATGAGTAAATCCTATATGGCATATGATATATAATTGATGTTTGACCAATCAAATTTCAGCATTTGGTTCAGCCCTTGTCAGAGAAATATGTGATTGGTCAAACATGAATAATATATCATATGCCATATAGGGTTTAACATTCACCCAAATTTATCTTGCAAAATGACTAGTAAAAATGGCGGGAACTTGAAATGATCCCATATATTACCAAATAGATGGCTAATAAAAATGGAAATTGTACCAAAAACCAAAGAAATATAAAATCCCTTTTATTGAGTAACCTTAAAACGTAGTTTGGGGATATAATTCATACATACTGTGGAGAATGACAAAATATTACCCCTAATTGTTCAATAACGAGTACACATAATGAATGAAAATATGAGCAATCTGATTATCCCAAACTGAGTGAATTCCATTTCCAATGCTAGAGATTCTAAAACATGAGGGTTTTATCCATCAAACTAACCCATAATTAAGGTACCTCTCCGCCAAAAACACTAGAAATTTTATCCACTCACCATTAACTATTTCTCCGTAAAATATTACAATGACGGTTTCTCCCCATTATCCATTGAAAGAATTCTTCCATAAAAACAAGAGGAGTTTGTCCCATAAGATATGAATGGCTATGTTTATGAAATAAGGTTCACTTCATTCAACTAATGCAAATGATTTTAACAGCAAAATAGAGGTAATTTCTCGCTTAACAGGCAACGTTTTCCGCCAGAATGTGATCAATTACCCGCCAAAAGGTAGAATTTCTTACCAAAGGGATAGCATTTCCTGCCAACATGATAGCACTTCCCGCTAAACAGTTAAAGTTTACTGCAGAATATTCTCCATTACCCGCCAAAAGGGTTGAATTTCCTGCCAAAAGGATAGATTATAAGTATGAATTGTATAAAAAGTTGAAGTGAAATTACCTCCTTTTTATGAGATAGAATTGTAAATAGAAGGGGAGTATTCCTACAACGTGGCATTCCAAAGTTAAAGATATGTGAGTAAAATATTGGCTTCGTAAAAATGAATGTAAGTTGAAAAGGTAAACTCGAAATACTTGAAATTCTGAAGCAAGTTCCAATTAAAATGTGTATGAAGCAATGTATGAAGCAATGTATGAAGCCAAATGAAGTACATGTAAGCAAGTGTGTAAGTATTTACCCAAGTTTTAGCTGTTAATGTTGAAGTAGCCAAGAGAACATGTCCTTTCCTTGCCACGTCGCAAAAATACTACCAAGAACTATATTGGCGCGCTTATGATCACGTGATTTGGAATTTCGAACCTTGTGAGATCCAAACGTGACCGGAAGTAGAGCCAAAAATTTGTAAAAACATTAGTTTCAGTAAGTATAATAAAGTAATATATCAACCAGGTCCCTATGCCATACTGGCGTAATAAAATAAATGCAGGGCTCCTGGTTGCTACAGCAGTATTAAACTTGCGCATCATTAGACTTTATCCTATAGTCTGAATTGTTTTCAAAATTTGGAATAAGTAAATTCAAAAATTGATAATTTTGTGCAAAAATTCCCACAGGAGCATTGCAACCCTATCCCAGCAAGGGTCTTGTTCCAGTAGCTCGGCATGGCCTTTAGGGCACCTTGGCTTGGCTTCTAGTAGGAGGGTCATCTTGGCTCGGCTTCCAGTAGGTGGGTCATCTTGGCTTTGCCTCTAGTAGCTGGGTCATCTTGGCTTGGCTGTAGCTGAATCATCTTGGCTTGGCTTCTAGTATGTGGGTCATCTTGGCTTGGCTTCTAGTATGTGGGTCATCTTGGCTTGGCTTCTAGTAGCTGGGTCATCTTGGCTTGGCTTCTAGTAGGTGGGTCGGCTTGGCTTCTAATAGTTGCGTTATCTTGGCTTGTCTTCTAGTAGGTGGGTCATCTTGGCATGGCTTCCTAAAGGTGGCTTAGGTTCCATTTGTGGCTCATCTTCCAGCAGGTGACTCATCGTTCAGCAGAGGACAGCTTGGTATTCTGTTTGTGGCTCAGATTGTAATGGGCTGTCTCCAAGCTAAAGGTAAATCTGAAAGCGATACTGTACATTAGGAAATGAAACACAGTACTTACTTGAAAGGGATACTAAAGACCTCTCCTGTCCTGGACAATGCTACTTCAGACACATAAAGACATCACCAGAAGTAGTAATAGCAATATGATATGTTGTTACAATTGCTGTAGACAGATGGTGCTGATTGCGGTTCTTCTCAGACTCTTCTAGGACAAGACAGTTTTTCATCGGCAGGGTAAGGAGTGCACCTGAAAGTACATACAAAATAGTAAAAAGTCAGCAATGATAGTAGTTTTCAATCTTTGAATTGTAGTTACAAGGCCTCATTTTTAAGACACTTCCATAACAGGTGGTGGAGGGACTGTCTGAACAGAATTATCTTGTATTTCTAAACAGATATACAAGGTGTTACATAACGAAGGCTAGAAGTCAAAAATCTCCAGATGTCAGATGTAATATAAAATTCAAATGCAACCCATTTGTCACTTTTACACTGTATTGACACCTCTTGGTCTAACATGAAATAGGAATTCCTATATGATATATACATAACAAGTCTCAAGTCACCATAAAGCATACGCCAAAATTTTGATTTGTCAAATTTAAACCTCTTTAACGAAAATGAGTTACCAAAAGTCATGGGTGAAAATTAATACTCTTTGATTGGTCAGACAAATTGAAGTCAGAATGTGGCAATGCACCACTCACAAACTTACATTCGGTGGGGAAATCAAAAAACGATACTATAAACAAAGTCAAGTATAGTAACTAAAGCGTTTTTGAGTTAAAAGTCTTCTCTGAAAAAGTTTCAGGAGCGATTGATAAGTACTAAAAGAGCTAGTTATATTGTCTTGATTAATTTAACACTGAACAAGTTTAAATCCTTAAATGGTTGCATGACTGCCCAGGACAGATTTAATGAACTCATGTGAAATATGAGTTGCGCCAAATTCTCAGTGGTGTGAAATGTCATTCCTTTATCTAACACCAGCAAAATGGTCATTTTCGACACGTGTGGTGACAACAGGATGGATGACACTCCTCACGAGTGACGGGCTGTGGCAGAACTCTTTGGAAATTTAATCCGAGCAGATTGGCCCCCAAGTTCACCCAACTTAACCCCCTTTGGATTTCTTCCTGTTGGGCCACCTGAAAACCAGGATCTTTACAACATTCCCAACTGATCTGGATGAAGCTAGAGAATAATTGATGAAGTCAGTGTGGTACGACAATAAAAGGAGCATCAGTGCTTGTAGGGACATGTTTAGGTGAGCACATGTTTGCGTAGACACAACGGGTGTGTTACGAAGTACAGATAGGAACATTGCAGAATTAATCAGTAAAAAGAATCATGAATAAAATTAATTGTCAAAGGAATGCTTTCTCCTTGTCCTCTGTTCTTTTTAACCACTGAGAAGTTGGCACAAGTCATATTTTCCACGAGTCAATGAAATCTTTGCTGTGTTGTCAACCATGGAATGATTTTAAATCCTCTGGTGAAAAATTAATTGAGAAAGCTTGCTCTTTAAGTATTCAATTATATTTTAAGGAACATGCCAAAATTATAAAAAAAATATTGACAATTGAGTACTTGTAACATTTTTTGAGACACTCTGTATATAGGGTGTCTCAAAAAATGTACCCAAAAGTATATCAACACCACAGACAAACCAATCAATATTTTCAGACATTTTTTGCATGTTCGTGTAGATAAAAGATGAAAGTTTTTTTCCCCATGCACAGTTTTTAATTCGGTTTGCCTTTTTGATACTTTAACCAGTTACCTTTTACACCACATATTCAATGTAACCTCATATTTTGATGACAGTCTGCATCCTTACGACTACATTGTTCATCACATTTGATATTTCTGGTGGAATGTTTTGATTTCTGTTTGGATGCTGGTCTTAAGTTGTTATGGGTCTCTTAGCCTGGGTTTAGCATAAAAATGGTCCTTCAAATAGCCTCAGAGAAAAAAGTATGGGCCTTCAAATATGGTCAATAGGGAGGCCCTCACAATGTCTTATAGCCCCCTTATACAGAGAGGTCGGAGGTTCAAGAAACTGCATTGGCTGGGATTCTAGTGTAGCTTTTGTTGTCTGGATCAATTTGAGACCACTGTGTTTTCATTTGGATATCATTTGGTCTCCAGGCTAGCCTGCCTAACTCTGGAAGGTAACTCCTGAATCTTTTGCCGATAATTGACCTGATTATCCGTGTTTGTTCTGCCATCGTCATCCTCAAACATCTTTCTATGTGGCTATCTGAAGGAGTCTTTTAATGCTCATTCCAAGCAAAAAGACCTAGAGCAACTTAAGGGCAACATCCAAAGAGAAATCCAAAACATTCCACCGGAATTATTATCAAATGTGATGAACAATGTAGCAGTAAGGATACAGGTTGTCATCGGAATATGAGGTTACATCGATAATGTGGTATAAAAGGTAAATGGTTAAAGCATCAAAAAGACAAGACTGAAATAAAAATGGTGTATTGAGGAGAAAACTTTCATGTTTTGGCTACATGACCATGCAAAAAATGTCTGAAAATATTGATTGGTTTATCTGTGCTCTTGATATACTTTTGGGTACATTTTTTTGAGACACCCGATATATGCTCAACTTAAAAACCCAATGTTGATTGTCTAACAAAGTTATAAAGAAGAATATATCATGTTTTAAATATTATTGTACCTTTGGTTTCTACGAGAAATAAGATTTTGAAATTCACTTTTCTCTGAACCATTTTCATATATGAATGAGTTCATTTCTCCCTGATTTATGTACAAATTTTCTTAATTTTTTGGCAAAAAAACATTTGAAGATGAATGTTATGCATTGTTGTGAATTTTCGCTTATTAGAAAATATGTGTGACCTCTAAAATTTTAAACTAGACAACAGCAACGCCAAAGCGTAGCAAATCTCATCGAACAGCCTTGGCTGGCATTTTTACAAAGTATATAGCCAAAATGGCCGCCTTCTACCAAAAGTGTCATTAGACAGTGTGCCATGCTTAAAGGGCGAATCAACTGGATCAGTCCATTTTTAAGAAATAAGGGGAGTTTATAATGATTTTGAAAATGTTATCCATGGAGTGATTGCGTTCAAACAGTACATGTACAACAGCCAATATAAATCCTTGTATTAGAACTGCTTTGTTTCATTTGTAGGATATTTCATATGCCGAGCTGTGTGCTATTACGTTATGGGGAAATTTAGATGCCAATTTTTCCATATTATACACAAATAGAAGATCCTGAAACTTCACCCATAAATTTGGAATTGATTTGTCAAAATAAAAATCACCCTTTTATAAATGTGTGACGATCTATAATATACTTATGCTATATAACAGTTAGAGGTGTTGACACAACGACATCGAACCTGTGAACCCTTGAGTATTATTCCGGGATCGGGCCTTTTATACTAAACGGTGACAAACACCAGAAACGAGCGTTCGATTTGCTAAACGATATGCGTCACCCTTTAAAGTATTCACATACCAAATATGAACAAAATCACTCCTCTACTTTTCAAGTTTTGTAAAATACGTTAAAATGGTGGCCATTATGAAAAATGAACGCCTTCTACCAAAAAGTGTCATTAGACATTGTGCCATGTTTATAGTATTCACATACAAAATCGCTCCTCTACTTTTCCAGCTATATTAAATATGTTAAAATGACGGCCATTTTTCATAATTGCCGCCTTCTACCAAAAGTGTCATATACAAGGTGTTATATAACGAAGGCTATAAGTCAAAAATCTCCAGATATCAGATGTAATAGTTTGCCATGCTTATAGTATTCACATACCAAATATGAACAAAATCGCTCTACTACTTTTGGAGTTACAGCAAAAGTCGTAAAATAACTAGTATGGCTGCCATTTTTCAACATGGCTGCCATGTGCTTCTTTAATGTCTAAATTTCTAGCTTTATTAATGACCTATATAATTTTTTTTTACATTTAAAACGTATTGCTATTATAGTTTTACATATTGCACCTAAATTACTATAAAATCGGCACTAAAATGGCCACCATTTTTAAATCAGCGGCCATTTTGAAAATCGGCTTTCGAGCAGAACTTCTACCCCCATAGGGTATATGTGTACAAAGTATGAACAAAATCGGGCCAATGGTATTTTAGTTATTGTCCGAACGGACGGACGGAGGCATTCCCTATATCCCTCCGAACTTCGTTCGATAGGATAATAAATTCTCAATTTTTCGAACAAAAAGTCCTTCAAAATCCATCTATATCCATTTCAATACCCCAGCTTTGGAACAAATTACCAGAAAGACTTAAACAAATAAAAAGCCTCTATTCATTTAAAAGGGAACTAAAAAAACTATTTTTGGAAACATACTAACTCAATTGATATTTTGCTGTCTCTTTATCACCCATTGCCCTCATCATGCTTTCTCTCGTGTATGCTCTTTTGGATGCTCTTTTGTTTTCTTGGAAGAAAAAAACTGCTCTCAATATGATTGCTCAGTATATCTGACCCATATGGTAACATTTCAATCACATACAGTTACGTTGTTGTTGTTTTTTTCAATACAATTCAATATTTAACAATGGGACTAGAATTGATGATGAAAGTGTAGATATCTCCAATTTCAAATTTCAGACTAGCACTGCCAGGGAGTATGCATGTAGTTAACGGCTTGTTTAATCTGCCACCCCTACCTAGGTGGAATTCCACTTACCCACCGAAACTATTTCAAGTCTATCTTAATCCAAAAGTAGGTTGCAGGTATGTATTTCACATTTACAGTGATGTAGTGGAGACTGTGGCAAATGGGACTTTTTAAGTGTGTTCTCAGTCAGTTAAATGAAACCATATATTCTTTTTTACGTGAATTAGTGATGCACCATTGCCATTAGGGGCACCAAAGGGCTGTTTGATATTGTACAGAAAAGTCCTTGCATAATATACGACTTAGATTTTAGCTCCTCATCATTTTCGAAATATGAAATAAAGATAATTTCTGACATTGACTGACATATTCTAATTAATCAAATTTTGACAGTCAAAAAGTTACAATTTCATTTAGGCAGAGCAATTTTATTTAAGAAAAATCTAGCAGCCCATTTTGCCAAATCCCCTTATGGTACGATGGCTTTTTCATATTTTCAAAAATATGATTAAAAGCTAAGAAAAATCCACTTTCCCATTTTCTTTGTGCCAAATAGGCTATACAGGTTGTTGCCAGGTTAATTACTCAAGGAAAATTTGAATTTCTCGTTTTTCCCGGATCTCCCCTTTTGGTAACATGATTTTTTTAAATTAGTGCCAAATCAGCTTTACATAACATAGCCACAGTGATTAATTGCAGGTTCAAAATAGCATATGGTTAATTGTAAAATAAGATACCAATAAGTTGGGTAGTACATGCTTTACAGGGTGTTTTAGTGTTGTGTCTGTCTTTCAAAGTTAGCAGACTACTCGATCAACATATATGCTCATCAGTTCAAACTAATAAAGTGATTTCCCTTACAAAATATTGACAATACAATTTGATCTCACGCCTACGTATGAACCCTGTTCTTGGCTTATCTATATCATGGGATGGTAGGTAGGTTTGCAAAAATTGTATCAGATAGTTTTACGGGAATTTGAAAATTTTTGGAATTTGTAACAAAATTATTTCAGACAACTACTCTTTACAGTGACATGGCTTTTGACAATGCAGGACACCTGAAATAATTTGAAAAGCTAGGAAATGGGCCTAAAGTGAATTTCTCGAGACAAAGATGGTGACTGTTTTGAAAATAGGCAAGCTTTTGAACCAGGAGTCATGGGGGAGTTTTCTGTATTGATGCTGAACAAAAATAACTTGAAACGGGAATCCTATCGACAGAGGTTTAAAGGAAAACGGTCCAAAAGTGGATTTTTTGTAAAAAAAAATTCATACAACTATTCTTTACAGACACGTGGTTTTTTACAATGCAGGACACCTGAAATTATTTGTAAATCTAGTAAATAGGCCGAAAGTGAATTTCGCGAGAAAAATGGCAACCATTTTGAAAATCACAGGGAGTTATCTGTATTGATGTTGAACAAAAATAACTTAAAAGCGGGAATCCTGTTGACAGAGGTTTTAAAACGGGCCAATCGTTGACAGACAGACCGACGCTTGGAATAGCAATAGCTTACCATGTGAGCTAAAAATGTCAAAATTACTTAAAAAACAAAGGGGCCTGTTGCTTTTAATATTTTTAATTTATGTGTACTTACTTCTTTCTGCCATTTTGATGCAATCCTCAGAGTCTAATGTTACTTTTTAAATGTGGACTCCGCCTTCTCCACTTTCCCTACATCTTTTATTTCAAGTGCACTAATGTACCTGGAAAGGAGTCAAGAATATTTTGTTCATAAAATGTAGAAAAATGAGAAAAAAGTGATCTGAAGTACAAAATAAGGAAATAATATAAAAACCCTGTTTCCTTACGATCACCTTCGCCCTTGCAATGCAACCTTGCTATTTACTTGTTGTCCAAAAAGTATTGGAATATTTCGACTTAATAACTTTTTTCTTCTGAAAATATCACCTTTGGTTATTTGGTTTAATTGTTTGCAAAATGGCCATTCAATAATAAGAATGAAAATAATGGCACAGTAGTCTCTAGATTTCATATATTTTAGGTTCAACTACTTGCCTTTGATTGAAGCATTGTAACATTGTAGTACTGCACTTTCAGAAAAATCAATTTGAGGAAATTAAGTTGACAATAAAAATATCGTATGTTAGATTACAACTGGAGGCAAAACTTATTGGGTTTCCTGAAGACTAGTGATGGAATTGTCACGTTCGATAACCATATTTTATAAACAGGCCTTATTTGCCATTAATTGAAATTGATCTCAGAATGTTCGCTGCTGTTTTATGATTATTCTCTACAAGTTTGGATCAAGTAACTTAAATAGTAACCGTTAAACTGGTATAAACATTTCCAAAATTTCAATTAATGCTTTGTGCATGCTCGGCTCGGAGAGAGAGTGAGAGAGAGCACAAGCTCATGTTTGATCACATGATCATATGCTGCAATTTGATTGGGCATGGGTGTGATTTAAATAAATTGTGTTCATGAATGCGAAAGAATATGAAAGAATTATGGGAGCTACTCTTTTTTTCTGTGCGTACCCTAGACAAAAATTGACTGATGGAATATATTGGCTTACTGAACAGCCCATTTCACTGTTTTATTTTGTCAGTAGAAATAAGAAATCGGGAGACCATTGTGCAGTAATAGATGGAAAAGTATATTCATATTGTACATGAATGACATTTGTATATTTCAGATTATTTAGTTTTTTGTGCAATACGCCTATGCCCTTATACTTTATTTGCCAAAGTAGAAGCAATCCAAGATATACAACTGTCTTTTGAAGATATGGTCAAAACAGAACTCTGTTATCTTGGTTCAAAAAATGTTTGAAATCAAGCATGGTATTGTCACTTCCTGTTTTGTCATTTCCTGTTCAGTACCACTGCACCTTAACTTTGTTCATAAAGTGTCAAAAATGCCACATGTTTTGTCATTTCCTGTTAAGTACCAGGACACTTTAAATGTAAGCTTACAATTTATATTTTTCCATATATTATTGCACAATAATCTTTTGATTTCTTATTTATTAGGTTTTACTGACGCAGTAAAACAATGAAATGGGCTGCAGCGTGTTGATAAAGTGATGTGAAACATAAACTTATAAATATTTGTTTACAGTTGGGGACATAAATAAATGACAGGTGGATTTGCTGAAGTGAGGATTTCCCATGTTAAAAATAAGAGAATTTACAAGAGGCCATAAATCAGTGGATGAGATTATACAAAAATGTAAAATATACAAATTTTAAGGGATATGTATCTAGACAATATTGGAAATTATGGGCTTTCAGACCACCATAATTAGGAAATGGTGATCGAAAATCGACCTGTCATTTATTTTTGTCCCCAACTGTACAAAAAAGATCGCGATCTATAGGCAGCCGCCGCATAAGCTTACATCAAAAATAACTTATGATTCATATGTACATGAAGCTTATACTATCTTCTTTATGAATATGAAGGCAATTTATCTTTAGGGTTATTCTATCAAGAGAAATATTTAGAAATAAATGGGATAAATCCTTACCAAGTACAAGTTTTCCTCCATTATGATCATGTGTTTTTTCAACGAACAATCTGATTGGTTGAATTAGAAATAACGGGAAATTATAAGGAGCATGCGCAAACGCTTGAGTATGGGAGCATGTATTATTGCATAATAAATTAGAGCAATTATCAAGGTGGGTAGGATAAATGCACCAGTCATATTTCCGCGGGTGTACTTGTGCGAAAGACCACACTACCATATCTGGAAATGTACATCGATATTTTTTTATGAAAAACCATAAATGCATGTTCGTTGGCCAATATTTAGTCTATATCCGATCAGAGACATATAATGACAGAAATGAGTGACTCTTGTCTCTATCTTGAGAATTCAGTCTGTTTATCTTCTTGTCCCTCGTGTGGGAAAACAGGAAATTTTCTGCACAAAATTATCAATTCTAGGAAGCTTCAATTTCCAAAAGTCAACGTAGCAACAATTCAATTAGTAGAAAAAACAAAAAAAAGTAACATAGCATATTGTCAAGTGGAAATAAAGTCACAAATATGCAAATTAATTTACCCAAACGGCCATTTTGAATGGCACTTCCTATGTAAACAAATATGTTCTATCCCATATTTTAACATATGTGGGCTATAGTCTGAATATTTTACATTCTATAAAAAATATTCTCCACACTATTTTCTAGGTTCTTTACAGGTCCGTAGTCAAAATCATGCAGTTTTGTCAAAAAGCCCCCCCCCCACCTCCTAGGCAAAAGGCTCACCTTGGTACCGCTCCCCCTGGTAAAAGCTGGCTACGGGTCTGCTTTAGTGCACCCTTTGTGAAAAATTGACAATGTTAGGAAGGAGGAGATCATATTTTAAAATAACATTGGGCTATAATGAGGCATCAAAATTCCAATCCTACACTACAGACTTACCTCAAACTTGTACTATGAATTCGTGTGTTCTATTTCCGCTGTTCTTCCAGTCTTTGTTTTCGTACATGTCTGGTTGGCACAGTTCTTGACTGAATAGGGTAAAGGAGTCGCCCGGCAATTTCTTTACTTGAAGGAGACATTGCTCCGCCAAATGAGTTTCCAGCTTTAGTTTGTTATCAGGTAAAATAAATGTTTCTTGTAAACTGAAAATAAAACACTATGTTGACCTCCACGTGGCAAAGCTTGGAACGAAGGAACTTGTCGCTCTATCATGTATTCATGTAATTCATTCGAGTAATGCCCATGTGCAGTCCGTGTAAACTTCAGCTAGACTCCAATTGTTGCTACAATTAATTAGCTACATTATGATGAATTTTATCCAATAAGAGGCAAGGTAACTCGCAGTGTATTCAACAACAACAAAATTCATGGATCCCGGGGGATTCACTGTATGTAAATTTTGACGGTGGTGGTCCTTGGCATGCTTAACCCTCAGATATCAATTTCCCATTACAATCTGTCAAATTTCAATGTGTTCCCATACCAACCAAAATAACGCCCAAAAGCCATACCAAATGCCCGAATATAGGACCAATGCCATACCATATGTCCAGATATACAAGCACAAATGATATCCAAATGTCTAAATATAGGACCGATATGCCATACCAAATGTCAAAGTAGAAAAAAGTTAATATTTAAACTGAAGAAGGCCCTGGGAACAAGGCAGATCTATGAAGAAAACTATCAAAAACAGCCTCGAAGGTACCCCGTGTGCGCCGAGAATACCCGTCAAGGTTTATATACAGTGAACCCCCCTTCATATCGCCTGTTCTATTTACACGCCTATTAAAGATATAGCTTATAAATACGCTCAAACATCAAACGCACTTAAATCTAAATTTTGCAGAGTGAATTGAACATGAATAAGCACATGTATAGAAATCACTTTAAAAACAAAATAAATATTGACATTTTCTCTAGAGCGCAATGTAAATCAGAGCTTTACGACAAATTAAATATTCCATATCTCTCGAATATAATGACTAATCAACAAGTCCGCGTGGTAGAGCAAATGTAAAAATGTATCCTCCAAAATCTCATTAATTAGCAAATAGCAAGCTGCCAAAAAAAGATTTTACGACCAGAAACTCCAGTCATTATCCTTTGTAAACGTAGAAAAATATACTGAAACGTCTCACAAATCAACAAAGGACAAACTAGCACCAGCGTTAAGAACAACTGGTCAGAAAATTGACATTTTGTCCAGAGTGAAATGTAAATCAGAGCTTTCTTACAAATTAGATACTCATAATCTCACGAATAGAATGACCATACAACAAGTCCTTGGAAGAGAAAATGTAAAAATTATATCCTTACACGTTGCATTAATAAGCAAACATCATGCTCCTACCAGCATGACGTAAGACCGATCCAAACATTGACATTTCGTCTAGAGCGCAATGTAAATCAGAGATTTGCGAAAAATCATACAAATGAGATACTCTATATCTCATTAATTAATGACCAATCAACAAGTCCTTGGTAGGGCAAATGTGAAAATGTATCCTTAAACATCTCACTAATTGTCAAATATCCTGCTACGACCAGCGTTACGTACGACTGGTCCGAAAACATTTCTTCTAGAGCGCAAACTGCATCAGAGGTTGAAGACAAATGAGATATAAAATATATCACGAATGGGAACATCAGTCATTAAATCTTTCGAAGAGCAAACGTAGCCAAAGATACTGAAACGTCTCACAAATCAGCAAAGGACGAGCTGGTATCAGCGTGAGGTACGACTACTCGGAAAGTTGACATTTTGTCTAGAGCGCAATGTAAATCAAAGCTTTATGTCAAATTAGATACTCAATATCTCACGAATAGAATGACTACTCAACAATTCTTTGGTAGAACATATACAAAAAATTTATATTTGAACATCTTTTAAATTAACAACCAACATACGAGGGGTGATCCAAAAGTCTTGGACGCCCCGCTCTAACTTTGTAATTTTCTAATATAATTACATGAAACTTTCAGATAATAAAGATCAACATCTTAACAACTTTGTGTATAAGTTTCAACAGAAACTTATATATTTTAGCTACTTTTCTAAATATGTTTTGATACCGGGTCCCTACCACCCGGAACGGTATTTAAATATAGCAAATCACGTAACAACTGTTATAATATGGCAAATACTTTAGGTTCAGGTGCACAACCTAACACCGGTCATGATATGAGAGAATTTCCCATTTTTAGTTTAAGTGTCTTTTGTCATCATCATCTTCACATATTAAGACATACTTTTCAACATATTTTCTACGAATTTGAACACATTTTTCATACCGCTTTACCAATGAATGAAAGACATTTATGAAACAGCTATTGCCTATGTGATACAATTGCTGCTGGAGTGCCATTCTAAACCTCATCCAATGAGTAGAAAAACATTTTCTTTCAACCCTCCTTTCAACTTGGAGAAAAGGAAGAAAATCACACGGAGCCATATCTAGACTGTATCGTGCATATGGTAGCTGCTCAATGTCAATAATAGTGAAAATATATTGTAGTATTCTTTGTTCCATTTTTATTTCTTTCATGTTCTGCAGCCATCTTGGAGCAAAAATGACACCAGAAGGAGGGTTGATTGTCTGATGTCATTTTCTTAGAACTTGACATATACGGCCATTGCCATATGTGACATTATGATTAAAACACAATTAATTGGTTACCTAGTAACAAAGGAAGTAAACTAACATGGTTTAACATTCAACTATCGAGAAAACTACATAAAATATATCATTTCACCATGAAATAAATACACAAAGTAGTTAGGTTGTTGGTCTTTATATATTATTGGAAAGTTTAAAGTAATTTTATCAAAAACCAACAAAATTAGAGCAGGGCGTCCAAGACATTTTGAATCACCCCTCGTTTACTGTTACCAGTGTGGCGTTAGACTGGTCCGAAAATTGATATTTCGTCTAGAGCGCAATGTAAGTCAGAGCTGCACAAGCAATTGAATATTCAATATCTCTTGAATAGAATGACTAAACAAAAAGTCCTTGGTAGAGCTAATATAAAAAAATGTATCCTTAAATATCTCACTAATTAGTAAATAACATACTGCCACCAGCGTTACGTACGACTAGTCCGAAAATTGACATTTTGCCTAGAGCGCAAACTGTATCAGAGATATAAGACACATTAGATATGAAATATTTCACGACCAGAAACATCAGTCATGAAATCCCCTGAAGAGAAAACGTAGAAACATATACTGAAACGTCTCATAAATCAGCAAAGGACTAGCTAGTACCAGCGTGACGTAGGACTGATCAGGGAATTGACATAACGATGAGAGCGAAATGTTAATCAGAGCTTTGTGATAAATTAGATACTCAATATCTCACAAATAGAATGAGCGGTGAGTTTTTTTCTCATTTTCAGGCCAATTATACGAGAATAAGATGCATAATTTACATAAAATAATCGTGAGACAGTATCCCGTGATTCCCAGTTGCTAGATTGCCCCTACATAGCTTGTGTAAGATGGGGCGAGCTGATTTGTAAACTGGCTCCAAGTTGGAGCCAGTTTTGAAAAATGAGCGGTGCGTTTTTATTAAACGGAAATGCATTGCATAATCTGTTCTGATTTGGTGAACATGATCTAATTCATCAATATTTTTACTTAGAATTGATTTTTCTCTCATAGTTTTGGCTTGAAATGACTATTTGCAAAAAATCTTTAAATATATTACAATTTTATGTATTTTTCAGTTTTTTCTCATTTTCATGCAAATTATACGAGAATAACATGCATAATGCACATAAAAATAATCGTGAGATAGTATTTCGTGATTCCCAGTTACCAGATTGTACCTACATAGCATTTGTCATATGGGGCGAGCTGATTTTCAAACTGGCTCCAAGTTGGAGCCAGTTTTGAAAAGTGAGCGTTGTGTTTTTATTAAACGGAAATGCAAAGCATGATCTATTCTGATTTAATGAATGTGATCTTATTCATCGATATTTGTGCTTAGAATTCAATTTACTGTCATAGTTTTGGTTTGAAATGACTTTTTCCAAAAAATCTTGAAATATGTAATAATTTTACGTATTTTTCAGTTTTTTCTCATTTTCATGCAAATTATACGAGAATAAGATGCATAATGCACATAACAATTATCATGAAACAGTATCCCGAGATTCCCAGTTGCTAGATTGCCCCTACATAGCTTGTGTAAGATGGAGCGAGCTGATTTGCAAACTGGCTCCAAGTTGGAGCCAGTTTTGTAAAATGAGCGATGCGTTTTTATCAAACAGAAATGCAATGCATAATCTACTCTTATTTAACGAACATGATTTAATTCATCGATATTTTTACTTAGAATTAAATTTCCCCCATAGTTTTGGTTTGAAATTACTTTTTGCAAAAAATTTTGCAATATGTTACAATTTTACTTATTTTCATTTTTTCTCATTTCCATGCTAATTATACGAGAATAAGATGCATAATGCACAACAAAATGATTGAGAGAGAGAATCTGGCTTTTAAAACTGGCTTCTTGGTAACTGCAGAAGCCGGCTTCTGTAAGTCATTCGAAGCCGGTTTTTAAAAGCCGGCTTCTTGGTGACGCCAGAAGCCGGCTTCTGATGTACTGTAGAAGCCGGCTTTGTATATTTGCCTTCGACTCTTTCTCGGCCGGCGCCCGCCCGATTGAGTGTTTTGTTCAATATTGTATTCAATTTTGAACAAAATACTCAATCGGCCGGGCGCCGTAATGAAAATCGGAGCAAATGTGACCAAGGCATAAAGGATAAGGTATGAAAAGTGTCCCCTCGGTGGACACTAGCATTTTCTTTGATGCTGTAATCTATTCAAAATGTTTAAGTGAGCACATCACAAAAGTATGTCAGTGAACTGACAAGCATGCAAACCTACTAAAAATACATGATATAAAATAAACTCAACACGTAAACCAAAATTGATTTTGTATGAATTAAAAAATCGACTGATGTTGTGATACTTACTCTTTGGTACTTTTCAGTGTTAAATAGCGAATAATTACGTGTTGTTTTAGGTAGCTATCTGAGGGCTGAGGGATATATTATCCTATATGAGGTTCAGGTCCCGAGGGAAAATATATTATATTGGCCAAGGGATAATCCCAATATCCTGAACCGACTATAGGATAATATGTTTTCATGACTCTCATTTAAATATTTAATTTGTCAATAAACGTTAATATCCCTACCTGGTAGATATGTAAATGAAAAATAGGTGAATCACCTCAAGTTGCCCACATTTAATCTTATGGTATGTGGGATGTAACCATTTGATTCATTCTGTAATTTTGCAGTATACAGTTTCAATATTGTTTTTCTCTTATTGATAATTCACAACTTTGAGAATTCATGGTTCTCATTTTATATATCGTATGTGTATGATAGATAAATGAATTAAAGAAAACGTAAGAAAATGAATATGGTGTTGGATTATTTTTACAACTTTATTGAATGTAAAGTTAACAATCAACAAATGTAATCTGAACTTAACCCAAACCATAATACATTCATAACATAACTACTACAGCAGTTACGGTCACTGGTTTCCTTACCTATTTACTGAATCCATAAACTGTGAAATTACTGTGTGTGAGAGGTCAGGCCTGTTATGGTATCACACTCTGGTGGTTTTACCTTATCCTCTAGACTGTGTACATACTGTTTTAGGAATGACTGTTTTACAAATGTTTTGTTGGATAAATTGCCATTGATGATTCAGAGCTAACAACTAACAGTGAGTAAAACAAAATATTTATATTTACTTTCCATTGCTTTTATCTAATAACCAGTTACACAATCAACTAAATAATCTGGTGTTTTTGAGGAGGAATATAGATTTATTGGTGGAAAACCTTTTTATTTTAGAGTTCACCCCAAGCCTTGCTCTTTTTAACATTGCACATTACATCTATATGATCTCACACCTAAACACTAGATCTAAATGATCTATTTCACAATGAGAATAAGAGGCTTAGCTTATGTATAATCAACTAGGCTGACCAGACATGATACATCAGTCCTTTTGGAAAATATAACTTTTTTAATCTTCATGGGTATTGGTGTTACTGCATGAGGATATGTATTGGAATACACAATTGCCAAAAGTCTTGTGCACTATATAAGGGAGAAACCAGGGTCCTCAATAAATGCAGTCCAAATTATTTGAATTTATTTCTCAGAATTTTATGGTACTTTGGTCTTATATTGGTTATAACATGTACATTGTACCTCAACATGACAGGCCCAATGAGACAAACTGCCTGTATATCTTATAAGATTCTTTTACTTGGATGCATTAGTATATTCTTGGTTGCTCTCCCTGCATTAATTTTCATGAGTACAATGATATATATTCATGGCAATCACAAGCATTTTGGAACATTATATAATTGAATTTATTCCATAATACTACTGTTTTCCCTGGGAAATAAAATCATATTATCCCTCTTAAAATCATATATACTCGAAAAATCATATTGTCCCTGGAAAAAATCATATATACTCGAAAAATCATATTGTCCCCGAAAAAAAATCATATATACTCGAAAAACCATATTGTCCCTATTTTTTCCAAAAAGAATTGAGTTTTCAAATTTTTTTCCAATTTTCGAAAAATTAATTTTTTTCCAGAAATTTTAATTTTTTCAAAAACTTGCAATTCAAAGATTTTCATTCCTTTCAAAAATTTTCATTTTTGAATCAGTTTTTTCAAACATTTTCATTTTTTCAAAAAATTATGGAATAAAAAGGTTATTTCATGCTTGATTTTCAATATGAATTTTATTCCACGGGAAATATCACATTGACCTTGGTAAATATTATATTGACACTCACTCGCTACGCTCGTTCGGTCAATATCATATTACCCTGGAATAAAAATAAGCACTTGTGCTAAAGGGAAAGGACCAAAAGTTGTAATGGAACTTTGCAAGAAAAGTGTATACCAGTCAAGAAAAATAAACCCCATATAGCCCTAAACCATGATCTAACGTGAAAAGAAACAATGTCTAATACCCCCTTTCCCCCACCATTCAAGAACCAATATCACAATCCAAGACCAGAAGACCAAGGGACATTTCATTCATACTGAAGTCATACTGAGATCTTTGCAAGTAAATTTTTAATGTTTATTCCATCCTGTACTATATTACCTAACACAGTCCAAGCTATTTTCTTACTGAGCAATGATGTTCACCCAAATCCAGGACCTACAAATAACTTTCAACTCACAAAAATTATTTTCTCAAATATTAACATTATAGGTGCCAATGTAAATGCCAGATTTAAAGCACTAAAAGATAGAATTCACATGAATGGAATGGACATTATTGGAAGTTGGAAACCTCACCCAAGAGGTAATTATTCTGAGTATTCTATTAATGGACATCATTCTCATGAATTAATTCCGAGTATTCTATTAATGGTCATTCTCATGAATACTTAAACAGGAATCGAGGACTTCTGATATATGTTAAAGATGACATACCTTTTAAAGTAAGATATGACCTCATGAATGATCAGGGTGATTCCTTATGGCTTGAGTTAACTATTAACTATAAATCATACCTTTATGCAATAGTACAATAACGTCATTTCGAAGGGCAATATAGTGAAATATTGGACCGAGGGCCGAAGGCCGCATTCTCGACCGGTCTGAAATGCATTCTTGACCACCACTATGACGTCACATATTGCTCAGGTCGATATAGTAAAATGAACGCCTTCTAAACTAGCACTAAAACCCCTAGAACTGGCCTGGCAAGGTGGTAATAATCTAAATACATGTATATCACATTCTCAGTCTCAAAATGATGCAAATGAACTTTGTAATCGGTTTACAGCTTCCATGTAATCTGGCTCTTGATAATAACCCTGAATCAATTTTTATCAAAGGAGATTTCAATGCGAGGTGTCATTTCAAAATACAAATACAAGTAGCTGCTGTGTATTAAAACATTGATAGCCACATTTAAATACATTTGAATACATAGTATATTTGGTAGCAGGTTTATAAGAGAACAAGTTTAAAGGAAAACAAGTGGGTGGTGGATAAGATGACTAGACATTAAAACATTTCTCAAAGAATTGTGCACTGAGCTTTAAAATATATAAAGGAGTGGTATCGATATGGAGAACTTTTTGAACACACGTTTCTCTTAAACCGGTCATAAAAAATCTAAAAATTTAGCACATCGTCAATTTAATGCATTGGTTATCTTTTGAATGATAACAATATAATTTGAAATATATATATATATATACTTTCATTTATATTGTTTTAGGAAACACATCAAACACTTGTTTTGTTCTTGGTATCATGTTTCCAGAGTGAAATGAAACATCTTTCCGAACCTCACTGGGACTAAACGACATAAACACATAAAGCTACTTTGTTCCAACAAGGTTTGGAAAGACATTTTATTTCATTCTCAAGAATTGGTAGAAAGGAGCAAAAACAATTGCACTAAAAAAACAGCACTGAACAAATTGCTTGGAAAAACAGTTACATAAAATATTTCTAAATAAATTTTTGTCAATCAGTCAACATTACATAAAATACCGTGTTTTTTACAGAATGTTTTCAATGCTTGGTTTAAGAGAAAAACATTGTTGAATTCAGTTCTCCATGTCGATACCAATCCTTTATTCTAAATGGTAAGAGTCGATCACCATTCACAAAAACTGATCAAACTTCTTATTTTAAATCAAAGCATATTGATGGTGAAACAAAATGTATAATGGAATCGAATTGATTCTTTTTAGGATAACTATGCGCTTCAGCAGATGGCAGATATTGAAAATGTTGCTGATAATTGTGATGTTGATAATTTACAAAACTTTGGACGGACTAGAGAGGCCTAAAGACCCGGATATACCCAGACAAATAGCAATTGAGTATGATGACGATCGCAACATTGAGAAAAGAGGTAATGCCATTGAGAGCGAAGAAACAGATGAGGATCGTAATGTTATCGAGGGTGATGGGATGAAAACAAACCACAGAGGGAAAGAAACGATTAAAGTAGCCCCAGATTTACTTCGCCAAACAGAAAACGTATTACAGCCTAATAGTAATACACACCATCACAATATTTCAGAGGAACGTGGAAAAGCAAAATGGCTGGAGACACTAAATTGGGTAAAAATAAAAGGCGATATTACAGTTTATCTTTTGGCTGCATTCTATGATGATCGTGATACATTAAAGAACAATGACCGCGAGGCAGCCGTTAGAGTGATTGCCGTATCTGAATCTATAGACATCCAAATGATGTGTCATTTACACTATGACGATCGTGTCGTAGAGGTCAAGGCAGAAATAGTGCAAACATCCGATTTGCAACAGTTTGCATTTCAAAATAAACATTTTAGATCGAACATTTATTCCTGCATGGTTTTGAAGCAACAAAATTCAAACAAAAGTCCAAAATTCGTGTCCATTGTTGCTCCATGGCAGAAAAGTCCAACTACGTTTCTTCCCATAGAGATGCCAGGTTATCAAAAGCCTTTATATAAGTTCTGTGGATGTCAGCGTCATTTTGGAAACCTCGACCCTCGCCTTATCATTGAAAATTTTGAATATCAAAAAATGTTCGGCGTCTCAAAAATGTTCATATATACGACTGAACTCTACCGCATTCCCGCCGCAGTGCTTGAACATTACACAAAAGAAGGGTTTGTCGAAGTTATAGAAGTTCCAGCCAAGTTCGAAAACTTACCACCCAGTCATTATAGCGCGAACCATATATATATAGTACAACCTCCTTGTTATAACCATTGTATTTATAGGAATATGCATAAATGTGAGTTCATGGTTATCAACGACCCAGACGAGATCATTGTCCCGAGGCGAGATCCAGATTATACGACTATGTTGAAAAATATTGATAGAAATCACAATATCAGTGAGGGATATAAAACATCCTACCTCTTTCAAAATGCATTCTTTTACACTCATCTACCCCAGAACGAGACTGAGCCTAGTTACGTCAAATCTTTACGCCATCAAGCCCGGATGGAAGTAGGATACCCGGATGACTCCGTGAAATCATTTCTACGGCCAAGTTCTTGCATAGGGTATCAGGTTCATTTTTGTTGGACACACACACATGAGTCAAAGGGCAAAGTATTTGTCAATGAGGATTTTGCACTTAATTACCATTATCGCGCATGTCATAAAATATGGGAAAGGACAGAAAAGGGAAACCGATGTGAACAATTCAAAAACGAATACCAAATTGATACGCATATGCTAAGATATAAAGATAGAATTGTAAGTGCAATGAAGGATCAGGCTCATAAAATTGGACTCCCTTTATCGTAGATTAAAAACACTAGAACCTTACAAGGAGGATTGGCTCTCGGGGTTCCAACTCGATATTTTTTCTCCAAGCAATTTGTTCAGTGCTGATTTTAACGACAAAATTCGCACGAGTGAAGTGCATGGAGATATAATAGTAACCTTGACCGATATCGACGACAACATTGAAAATGTCGTTATTTCCTGGCATAATAACTGTCTACAAATGCATAATCAGCGATCCAGTAATATCTTGATTTGTCTTGTGTTTTGAAATGTTTTCGGTAAAAAATGCGATCATGTTTTACAATGTTTAATACATTACCGCTATTCTTTATTTTGATGTATCATTTAGTTCTTGAAAGGAAAACTGATTTCTCTTAAGTGTTCCCCATGTTATTTCCCCATTGAAAAAACGCATGCTATTCATTGGTTTCAGCTCATTTTGGTCGTCTGAAATTGTTTGCGATAACGTACGTGCTCCTTTTATTCAAATTGACATGATAAAACAGAAATGATTGACTATTTCTTTTGAAATGTCAATTGAAAACGTATATCTGCACTCATTGATTAAAGGAAAATTGATTTGTGGACATATTTATCGAAACAAAATAATATCGGTCCATGTTTTATTTTAATGAAATTGTAATGACTTGGATATCAAGTTGCTACTTTTAAGCTTAGCTGTTAGTTCAGACTACCCTTTGCATTCGTTCGACTTCACTTCTTAAAAGAGAGCTCTGTCTTCAGTTTCTGTAGTTTAACTAGACTGCACGCAGGGTAAGATCAGGCGGTAGAGCATCAGAATCTAAACTGGAATGTCCCGTGCTTTCCTCCCACATAGAGCATTACCATGCAAGTCCCTGAAGGCATCCTCTGGCCCTTACAGAGGTACAAATTTGCATATTAAAGTAGATAGAAGATTTTGCCACCCTCCCACCATATTCATGTATCTTTAATACTAGTAATCTACCCATTCGAGTGGGTCACATCACCCCCCCCCCCCCACATAGCCTTAAAAATAAAGCTGACACTGACACTGACACTGACACTGACACTGACATTGACATTGACCTCAGGACACTTAACTCTCTTAGTGCCGCAATAAATTTCAAAACAGATATCTCAGTGCCACATTAATTTTGAATCAGACAGCTTTTTGACATATTTTGCACTTCCATCATTCAAACCTGAATTTTAGACTTAGTTTAGAACCAAATGCAATGAAACTTGACATGGTGTATCATAATAACACTGGCTTGAAAATGCATGTACAACATTACGTCAATGGCTGTGCTGGTTACCATGGTAACCATATTAATCTTGAAATCTTATAAAACATGAAAATCGCGAAAGGATGATTCTCGGTTTGGAGAACGAAGTTCATCACTCTAATTGAGCGCTATCCCTGCTTCGGACAAATTTGATTTTTTTACATAATATAGATTTGAATGTCTTCTTTTGAATAGACATAAATTAATTTGGGTAATATTTCTAGATTTTCCATAAAAAATTACTAGTGAACCACCCAACGTCGCTTCTATGATTCGTACCACTTTTTTAACTTGATGTATTGCATATTTTCGTGGGTCGATTTAAAAAAAATACAAACGACGTATACATGAATATGTCATAAGCATATCGTGAGATAATTGTTAGATTAGGTTTGCTATAAGTGACTTTAAAACAAAAAAATAAAAAACATTAGTTCACGTGTTAAAGTTCCATTGACCGTGACATCAAGGAAAATTGAGCTTTTTGTCATCAGACATCTTTATAGATGGAACTAGCTATGTACTACATTTTCAAATACACTCACATAGAACATATCTAAGATGTTCTTTTTATCGATGAAAAGATTCTTACATTCGGAAGTTACATTAAAATATCAATTGCAATAGCCGCCTGTTTTTAACATCCCTTTGTCACTCATCCCTTAATTATCTCTGTGTATCCATTCTGATACTCATAGCATCTTTCTGTTTCACCTGAAACATCTCAGGGCTGAGAAGAAATGAGATGTCATGGTTTATCATGATGCTGTGTATCTTATACTTGTGTGTGTTCGATTTTGATAGCACCCGAGTGCAACCTAAGGAGCACATACAATACATTTTGTGTATGCCCAGTCTGGTCTTATATCTGCCTGCTCCGAGGAATTTTGTTGGCGATTTTTTGATTTTTGTAATAGCCTACTACATAGCATCTCTTGTGCGCGTAAATCCCAATGTTTTGAAATAGAAAATAGAGACTCAATTCTATATCGATAGTTTCACAGATGAGGGTAGCGAATGGGCGCAGCTTTGACGATCAACGAATGATATAACGATATCACGGATTTCACCGAATATTATATTCATCCCTAAATAGCTTATTTATTTAGTCTTAAGATCCTTGTGATGTTTCTATTCATTGCAGTGACTCTGAAATTGCTGTGCCAGATATTACGTCACAGCGACTCATTTTCCAACATTTAAGCATTTAACTAAATAATTGAAATATAATTATTAAAGAATGAGGACCTTGTGTTTCACTCTGGACGAGGGGGGCCATGTCTCGGCTAGTTGTGCATTAACGTTTGATACTCTTTTGTGGATAAAAATAATGAATATATGTTAACGTAGCACTAAGCAGATACTTTCAAAGAATATAGTTACACTTAAAGAATAGGTCCAACGAATAGATATTGAATATAGGACTCGTTTGATGAACGATCGTTGTAATAATTCTAATAAACCTATAGAAATGAATCAACGATTAAAGTGCTTATTCGGTAATTTCTGTTTATTTTTTCTCACTGCAGTAGATTAAACAGATATTGGTAAGTAAAAATAGTATTCCAACAGACTCTTAACTCATTCTATTTGTTCATTAGTGGCAAAATAAGATTTCCCGGGAAAAAACATGACGTCACGAACAGAACCGGTTATGGATTTTTATCGGCAATGCGTTATGCAACTCGAATGTAAATTCAAAAGTGTTCATGTTATACCGTGTTCTTATTGGCCAGAAAGGAGTAACACTTACCGAAATCACCTCATGGTTCAATGCCTTTTGGTTACAAGATTTTAGACGCCTTATGTTAGGTAATACTATCAACTGAGCGTGTTTATTTTCTATATTGTGTTCTGACTGGCCAGAAAGTAATTCTGCATGACTAGCTATGTGAAAACGTACCGCTGGGTCGGAGGCTCTAATTTAGGTATTATTTTTTTGGGTTTATCGGAGGAAAAAACGTGACTCCAAAGTAGTCATCTCTGAATCAATTCCTCACTTCAATGAATGCAGTTGCAATCAATTACACTAACACTTTATAAGCACGTTCGGAGATTATGAACTCCAACAACATATTCTAAACCCGTCCTGTTCGTGATGATGATAGAGATTTGAAATTGTGTTCCCGATTTTGAACATTAAATTTCACATTTATAAAAATGTTTACAAGAATGGTTACTGGTTCGACAGTGGTATTTACTTCATTTAGAACGTGTATAAACTGTATTTTGACCCCATGAGCATCGAACAGACACTTTAAGTTAATTGAAAGACTTCGTGTTCAAGTTAGCTGAATTTCGTGTAACTTAACTCTGTTATGTTTCTAGATTTTACTTGTGGAGAACAGAAATCATAATCACAATCGTATTTTAAGGCAAATAGGCCATGCATATGCTTTGAGTTACACGGTGAATGATCAAATTAACATATTTTGGATGTTGAATTTCATTTCAAGTTCATTCGAATTTTACGCATTATCCAATAAAATGTATACTGTCTAGGCTGAGACTAACATATATATGTTATTTAATGTATTTAATATACAGGATATATCTGAGAAGATTATACATATATAATATATCTACAGGGTGGTCCAAAAAAAATTGGAACATTTGATAATTGAACTCAAAATCATTATTTTTTCTCTAAAATGCACCAAAATTTTACTGAGTATTGTTCAATCACTTATTTATCTGATGTAAAGTTTATAGGTGCAAACAACAAAGTAAATGCATTAAACTAAACAATGTTTGATATGACCCCTCTTTTCCTGAATTACAAGTTGAAGCCTGGGACTCAGTTTTGAAATGATTCATTCACTTTGCTGTTCGTTTGATTTTGTCAAAGCCATCTTGATTAAAAATTCATCTGGAACAAACTACTTATATGTTTGCCTTAGAAGATCAAATATATGAACATATTCAACATTCTTTTACCCAAATTGATGGGTATCAAGCGTATTTTGATGGCTATAGTTTGGTGTATTACTGATTGAATATTCTCCAGAAAGAGGCCAAGGCAGTCTGTTTTGACTAATAAATGAAGCCCCCCCCCCCTTCTTGTTCTAATAAGAATAATATTCATTGAATATATCAATATATGTTTATCAATATCATAAAGGAGTCTCCCAGAACACAAATGATATATAATATTATATGTGCTTAGAGGTGGTCTTTAATAAAGCCTCGTAAATAATGGGTCGGTTACCCCTTTACTGAAAAGTGGAAACAATGATTTTGTCACTTTAGTAGCTGTATGGGTTATGCAATCACTCACCTCTGACATGTTCTTTCTTTCCTACTCTTAAATCAAAATAATGATTTGGGGTATTCTTAAGTTAACAATAATACAGTAGTTTTCTAGTAAATCATAGATGTTAATACCTCTTGTTAACTAAACATGATTTTCTAAAATGTGTATAGCAATCAACATGTTCATTAAAGTTTTGTAATAAAGAATACTTGAAAAAGTAGCTGCGAAACTGACAAGTGTATATTTAAGAAAAAGGGGTCATATCAAACATGGACTAGTTTAATGCATTAACTTTGTGGTTTGCACCTATAAACTTTACATCAGAGAGATAAGTGACTGAACTATGCTCAGTAAAATTTTGGTGCATTTTAGAGGAAAAATAAAGGTTTTGTGTTCAATTAACAAATGTTCCAATTTTTTTTGGACCACCCTGTACAAGAGGAACAGTGGGGACCGAGGGTTCATATATTACCTTTAATTGTCGAAAATCGGGCATT